AGATCTTGGACTGAGTTGATTTTCTGGATCGCAGCAATATGGGCAGAGTTTCATGGTGCACAGCACAGGGACACCTCGCCAAAGTGTGGATTCATCAGTATTAATTTCTTGTATTCGAAGTTTGGTTTCGTACTGGCAGTGAACATCACCGAGCACAATCAAATTGTGTGATTTGACATGCTATGTCAAGATTGATTTCTGGAAAGATTGGTGTGAGATCCGGAGCCGCCAACGGACTAATCCAGTGACTCCAGGAGCTTCCATCTCCATGACTCCATGCAATCCCAAGTATGGGCGTCCACTGATTTTGCATATCTTGCATATCAGCGGGCGAGCGTTGCCACCCCTCAAGGATTTGACTTGACTCTGACGCTTCCATCTCCCCGACGCAGGGAACCTGCGACCGATACGCAACGCACGAATAACGCAACGACCGATACGCTTCATGCGGTGGAAGTCGTTAGAGGTCAAGAGGTCTTCTGTTCGAGGTGTCTTTACCTGGATCACACGAGTCCCACTCTTGCTTGCCATCGTCCCAAACGCACTTGGATGGGAGATCTTTAACTGGACATTGCATGGAATCGCATGGAATCACGCCTATGTTGGATTGTAAGGTGTTGCGATGAAGTGCTTGTTCGAGCAAACATGAGCACTTGGGGTTAGGAGCAAGGACGCTACTAGGAGCAAAGGGCATCGCTACTAGGAGCAAGGGATAGCAAGGGCCTTACTACTAGTAACAAGAATTAGAACATAATATTAGAATTAGAATTAAGTTTAATTGGAATTAAACTTACTGGCAAAGGAATCTACTAGGACCTTTTCGCGCGCCTATGTTGGGATGAAGTGCTTGTTCGAGCAAACATGACCACTTGTAGAGTAGCTGGTGGGGTCTGTTTGACATCGCATGTAGATATTCCACTTCGGTGGCTTGCACCAATTGTCTATATTGATCGCATAGGGTTTGTTGGTCATACAGGAAAAATCGCTCCATGTTTGCGGCTCGTACCACTCTTTTTCTTCCACATTTGATGTGGAACAACGGAATGTCAAAAGCGTACGTCTGTGATTTGCAACCTTGGTCCTGCCGCGGTTCTGTGTGTCCTCGGCATCGAGTCCTGATCATGTACTCATTGGTTCCGCGTCAAACATCATCCTTGGGGATATCCTAGAAGTACTGTCCCTTTCAATCCATTCAACAGCAACCGAGGCTCTTTTGTTTCGACATTCGTACCTTTGAGGAGAATTCAACTATATACTATTATATACAGTATTACATATATATATATACCACATTACATGTTCTTTTACCATGTAAACAACAAAAACAAATGCATGTATTTTTTGCACCTAAACAACTCATGACACGTGCTTTTCCAATATGATTCAGGTCCAAAGAGCCTCTTTTATTGGGCTTGGAGACACACCCCGTCCCGGCCGTGGGTTGACCTCAGGTGGCACCCCAGTGATCCGGTGGAACGACGGGGAGGCGCTGGGAGACCCACGGGGATGACTGGTAATCCGAGAACCAGGAAGAGTAGAGCCCTCAACCAATGATGTGAAATGCCTGAAACCGAAGGTTGCAGGGGCCGGACCAGCATCTGCCAATATCATTGACCATGTTCGCTGGACTTGAGGACTTCGGATTTCTTGTCAGAGGGCTTGTAACGGTTGTTCCCACCAATCAGCCAGGAGTTGGAGGTTCAGCAGGTACAGTACACTGAAGGATAGGGATTCATTCCACTTCTCCCATATTTCCCAGACTTCACTTTTATTTTGCCTGAAGTTCGGCAAACTGGAAGATGGGGCGACCATTCACCCATCAAGGCACCAGATGACCAAGGAGCTCCCTCTGGCACAAACGTAGAAGCACGGAAACAATCTTTGTGGACATACTCGAAGCAACAGGTTTGCCACATCCTTTGCTAGTGGCTTGTTGTTGTGTAGCTCTTACATGCTCCTATCCTATCTTGCGCAGTGGTCAACCTTTGTTCCCCACACCCGTGGCCGCCATCAACGTTCAACGACAGGTGTCTACTTCTGCCCTCCCTCAGTCGCCACCACCCCTCCCACCCGGTCCCCGGTCCGGCGTGTTTCGGGTCCGGTCCTCTCTGCTCCGGACCGCTCCGACCTTAATATAGCTGTGAAAGACCTGTTTCGCCCGCGAAGTTCTCATTTAGGATACATGGAAAGCAACAAACATAGCTTGATGATGATCATTTTCTAATGGACATGAATCAGGATGAATGGTTTCATTTTGCTTGGCCGAACGGTTCCTGCCTCCGGAAGGGTTTGGAGTTCGAGGGCGCGGCTTCCCGCTCCGCAGGTGTGGTATCGTGCTGACCGGACGGACTCCGCGTGCTGTCGCTTGCAGCTTGGATGTGGAAGCCAGAAGTGGTGGGAGAAGGGGACAGGCCCCCCCGACAGAAAGGGACTGTGGCTGACATGTGGAGCTCGGAGGTATCACAGAGATCTTGGAGGTTTCAACATGTTTTCTCCGACTTTTCTTGGATGTTTCGGCTTTTCATTCGGCCTAAAATTGCTTCTGAAGCTGTGCCTCATGTGGGCGAAAACCGACGCCTTTGGAGGCTGAACACCGGAAGGAAGCCGAAGGAAGGAAGGACCTGATCAAAGAGTTTCTAGTCATGTGCTTCACAAACAACTGGTAGGTTTGGAAGTATTCAAGTCAGGACCATGGAAGTAGGATGTCATCTAAGATGTCTCACGCAGATCAACCCGCTTGACTTCCTTTGTTGCGATTCTGCTTCGTCAACAGAAGTGTCGACCAAGCAACGTGGGTTGGTGGCCCGCGGTGCCCCTTATTTTAAGACCCCACCCTTAGTGGGCGTTCTTCCTCGTTCGAGAGATGCACACGGGTCAGCAATGGGGCAGGTTCCTCCACCTGTTCCACAGTGCAGCACATGAGATTTGGACTCCCCAACACGCTTGAGGTCCAGATGAGAGGCTGGGCCACGGTTTGTGGGTCGAGTCGCTGGGCTGGTCGAGTCGCTGGGCTGGTCGACTCTCCCGCTCAGCCCGCCCCGGAGCCCAGTTTGCCCCAGCTTTTGCCCAGAGTAAGCGATGGGGGGGATGGAACTGGGCCGTCCAGGAGGCGCTGTCCTCTTGCTGCTTAACCCCATTTTAATTCATTTTTGAGGACAGCTGGAGCACACAGGAGTATACAAGCCCCGCAACCCGAGATGAATTTTAGATTTTTGCTTCCTCAGTGGAAGACAGCTACTTGACCCAGACCGGCAGACCCAGTCAGACATCGTGGTTTGGGTTTAGGTTCCCCAGGCGGATGGTCCTGGTACATGTCATGTGAGTCATGTTGGTGATTCACTTCGAACCCGCCAGCGCAATGGACGAAGTCGAAGATGTGCCCCTCACCAGCTTCCTTTGAAAAAAATAAGAAATATAGTTCCACTTCGATACATTCAATTTCTGGAGTCTATTCTTGAAACAACAGGGCAAGCAGCACCACGGGATGTTTCCTATAGCTCAGTAGAAAAAACCAACATTTGACCACTGCCGTTGGAAGAAGCATCTCGCTGTCCAACCATCCCCTTCATTTCACGGAGTGTCCCACCGTGTAGACCTGTTCCGGCTCATCTGGTCGGTCGGCCATGCTTCGTGAAGCGCTTCGGATGCTTCGCAGGTCTCTTCACCGTGCGAAGCGCAGCCACTTTTGAAGTGAGCTGGCTGTGGGTCAAACGCCACTCCAAAACATTGATTGGTCGTTTGTGGCAATCCTCGTTGCTGCAAAACAACAGCTTGCTGCATCATGGATTCGTCGTTTCTTTCAGTGATGTTCACGTGGTCGTTTGGCGTTTTGGAGCGGATCCTGAGCCCGCGGCCAAAAACGCGCGGCTGGAGATGGATCCTGGGCGCGCCAGGAAGGTTTCTTTTTTGCCAGGGAAGGAGTTTCCAAGAACCTTCGATGCCCCTGGCCGACCTCATCGGCCAATCGCCTGCGCCCGCAGCGCGGCCTCTTCTCACTTGGGGTCCTGGTCCAAGGGCTTCGTTGCCGCCTTCCAGATGTTCAGCTTCTATAATACGGCATGGCCCAGAGAATCGAAGAGAAGACGGACAGATTGGCCGGTTTCACTCGTATGGATTGCCGCGGGCGAAGTCCAAAGAATCGATCCACTGAACCTAAACAACCTAAACCCTAAACACAACGAGTCAATCTGATGAGGTGCAAACTTCAGCCTTGGAATCAAAGGACCTGTGTGATATCCACAACATGGGTAGGGATAGGTCCAAGGCGCAGGTGGTGAACTGTACCCCACAAAGTTTTTTTTTTTTTTTTTAACAATAATTTTTTAAGGATCATCATGTCATGTCCTTGGCCCGACTAGGCAACTGCTCAATGGTGAGTTTGGTATGTATTCGAATAGGGAGGCCTCCCAGCTCGATCCCTGGAAGAACTGAAGTAGACCACAAGGCATTGAATGAACATCTCCCTATTTCAATACACTCCACCCATTTGCTCGGACAACTCGTACCCACAAATGTCAACCACCGCCGGACTGCAGAAGAGTCTGCAAGCTCGGGACTTGCGAACAGAAGAGTTACACACGACGAAAGTGTGGAGGTAACATGGAACTGCCTCTCAAATGCTTTTGGATGCTTTTAGCATGTCTCAGCTTAGATTCGGTCGGATCTATCCCAAAATGGCCCAACGGCAGCCATATCGCATGGAGGATGCAGGTAAGGAAAGTCGCATTGTAGAATCTTTATAGTAGGAAATGCAGTGAATCAATGACGCAGAATGAGAAGTTAATTGGAGCTTTGACATAAAGGCCAAATGCCCTCTCAAGGGTTCCATGCCTGTCGCGATGATCTCTCCGTGGCAGAGAGTTCCCTGGCAAACATCTGCTACATCACTCGGGAATTATTTGCAGTAGATCTGAATAGATCGCCTCCCAAGTTTGATCTTTGAGCCTCCACATATCGGTGCTCACATCCCAAAGACCTTGCGAAAACAGTGGCATGTAGTGAGATCACCCCAAAGACGGGCACTGCCCGGGCCTCCGCCTGTGGACCGCCGGGACAGCCCGAAGCAGCGCGACGGGAGCCCAGCCATGCGCTGCGTCGTCGGGGCGCTCCTCGTTGCTTCGGCGGCAGCAGCTTATTGCGAAGGCGTTAGCCATGAGGCGACTGGGCTGCACGTGCCATGCGTGTGGGCATGTGGGTGGGGTGGGTGGAATGGAAAGGGGCCGGGGATGTGGGAGATGGGGTCCGGTGGTGATTTGCATCAACAGTATTTGTACTAAAGGCTTCTAAAGGCTACTGTATATAAGGCAATCGGCCTACAGTCGCTGATATTTGCAGCCCCGCACTTTCATTCGGCATTTTCTGAAAGTCCGGAAGATAGATGAACTGTCCTGCTCCTTGCTAGGCAGTTAAGAGGGCTTGGTCATTCCAACTGTTTGAAAAGGATGCGCCTGAGCTTTGCTGCGCACCACAAAGGCTTGGAAGCTGCGCACGAGGATCCCCCAGTTGATCCATCTGAGGGAAATCGATGCCTGGGGCTCCTTAGAACTACCAAATAAACTACCGACAATGGCGTGCACATGCATGCACCCTGACACCAGGGTCATTTGCCCCTTCAAACGACCCTCCTCGTCGTGGGGTGCCCCCTTGTTTTCGGCAGACCAAATGGCCCTGCCCAACCAGCAGGTCAATGGGACGTTGGTGAAAGATCATGGCCACGGCGGCCACGGCGAGCATGATGTGGCACTGGAATCCATGCTGCCGATCAGCTGTGCGCTGATCCTGGCCTTTGCCCCTGGGAAGCAAGACGTTTGCACTGAAGTAAGACGCGAGACGGGACGGGAGGGGTGGGTATCGGCGGCTGACGGTATTGACGACTGAGCTCGGGCGACTTCTGTCCAGTGTTATTCTCAACTAGATCAAGATGTGTTGAATGTACATCGTTTGATTTTGGTTGGATGAATCAAGTATGCATCATGCAGCCTGGAAGGACGGGTCTCAACTCGTGGGTGCAGCCGGGTGACTGGTGGGCGGCGTTGCCACGGGCCTACCAGGTCTTGTCTTCCTCCATGGAATCCTTCCACATCACCTTCTTCCCAGCATCTTGGCGGCCACATGTGTGTTTTTCTGGCAGCTCTGGCCACACATCAACAACCCCTGCGTGGGCAGTGGCCTGCGGTGATTCTGAACGGCGGAGCTCTGGCCACTTCGGGTGCCATTTGTGAGACGTCGTTTTCAGGTGCCAAAGGAGTCCGTAAGGCATGGCCAGCTTTGGATGGACTCCCTTCTGAGAACGGAGAATGAAACCGGGATCCATTCTCTCATTCTTCAGACAACGTAACAATTCAGAAGCAATATATATATATATGGACTTTCCAAGGGGTGTCCTGTCTGGAGGTCCCTTAGTGGTGTAAATATATACACATTATAATACATTTCATTAATAGAGTACACCTGCATCTTTTCTCGCCCCAGACCACCGGAGAACTCACCGACTCCGAGCGACGCTACGCGTCGAACGAACCCAACGCCACGCCCCACCGTTGGACGCTCGCGGCGGAGCCGCAGAGGGGGCGTCGAGTCTGAGGAGTCCGGTGTGGTGATCTTAATCGGCTTGGGACTTGGCTTCATCTTCAAAGCACTCCTGGGCGAGGCCAGGGGTGAGGCTCCGCTTTTTGGGGTTCAAGATACTGTTTTTGGGCCCCCCCCTTAAGTGTGTTTGAAAAGACCAGAGAGCGCCCCCAAATGATCTGAAGACAGTTGAACCAACCTCCAGAGGGCTTTCCCACCTTCCAGCCATAGATCGGTCATGGATCGCCATTCGACACCCAACCATGGTGGTTTCGCCGCGGGCAGGTGGGTTTTGGCAGCGGAGAGTTGATCCCCAGCATCGGCCCGGCGGCGGTGAAGTCGGCCTTTCTGCCCATCATCATCTTCGCCCCTCGGCGAGACGTGGGACCACGGGGCTGGCGCCACCAGCCCAGGGGCGGGCGCGTGGGCGCGCGGGCTTCTCCTGTACCTACGTGTCTCCCACACACACCCATCCCTAGTCCCTACCGCCTCACAACTCACCCGTCCCCCCCGCGCCGCGCGAAAAGCCTGTGCCCATGCACGCCTCACGCACGCATCGCCGCGGGGAGAGCGAGCGAGCGCCCGCACCGCATTTGTCAGTCGCGCCACCCGGCACCGTCCGTGTTCGACGAGGAGTCGGGATGGTCCTTGAGATGGAAGGACTTTGCCTCCCAGGCGCAGTGGGCGGCCAGAACGACAGAGTCAGGGAGTTCCGTTCCCCCCGCGGAATAGAAAGCCTCCATCCTGTTCTCTTGTTCCGCTCATACCATTGCAGGGTTGCTGGTTTTGAGATTCCCCAACGTCAGCGGCTTGGAAGAAGTCAACCCCCTCCAAGGCAGTTGAGCTCTAAAGCCGTTGGCTCCAGACCCATTGCAGGTGGGCTACATCCTGATCTTTGCAGTGATTGGCACTATGATCTCCATGACCGTGGTCGGGCTCTTGATCGTGGCCACCAGTGACTAGCTTGACTTTGGCACGACGCTCTCAGCGATGGGAGCAGCGATGGGAACATGGAGGGGGTTCAAAGGGATGTAACATCGCACCGCACAAGTACTCTCATGTTCATGGAGAACATGACGATCTCGTACAAAATAAGTTATAGTAATTAGAGGTCCAACATCTTCATTTCGAACGCCCTCCAAAGCATCCGCTTTGGTACCCCACAAATTTGAACCGTCATGTCGTCTGCTGCAAGATCTTCTTCGAAGCAAGGTCTCAGCTTGACTAGAAACTGCTCAGTTTGCCTTTTTTGTTTTTTCTGTAGCAACGCCATGCAACGAATTAATAGATTTGGCCAGGTAAAAGTAGCCTTTTGAGGGTTTCAGGGTGAATTCCTTGGCGAACGAGGTCTTCAGGTGTGATTCTAAAGTGTTCTGGAGGCATTTAGTCCGCAATATCTCTCAAGTCAAAAAGGCTCTAGACTCTAGACGGTGTGCTCTATCCAAGATGGTGTGAGTAAAAGACCTTCCCAGGATCTCCATACCACACCTCTCATGGCAGTTACTGCTCTTTGCCTTTTTCCATGTCCCCTTCCTGCTGCCGCCCACCTCGAACACCCCCTCTTCGCGTTTCGAGCATCGCGTCGTCTCGCCTCGAAGCATCGTGCCAGCGGAGGTGGAAGGACAGTTCCCAGAACGCCCATCGCCCATCCCAATGGCTCATCCCACCTGCACCCTCCAGTTCAGGGTCCCATGGTCAACCACGCACCGGCCGAACCGGCGCGACGTCGAGGCGAGTACCACGGCGTCGCGGAGCTCCGCACGGCCTTCGCCTACGGCTCTCTGATCGCGGCCACCGACCCGGTGGCCACGCTGGCGACCTATGCCTCGTTGAAGGTGGACCCGGTGCCGTGGTGATGAACGAGGGGGGGACGGGCGGCTCGAGCGGAGGAGCGTTTGAGATCATTTGGAGAAGGTGGACTGGGATGGACTGGGTCAATTTGGGGGAGGTTATTAATCAAGAGTCTACCATATTGTTGACTCGTTGAATATATGACACTTGAAGTCCAGTTCGAGGATTTGGGGGGCACGGAAGTTGAGGACCACATTCCTTTTCGGATCGCCTTGTAAAGACCATGTTATAAGACATGGCCGACTGGACTTTGAGGGCGATCCAATACGAGTCACGTCAGCGTTTTGGGCCGGCGAACGCCACTCCAAGTCGATGCACGAGCTGGGCGGTTTTTAGGTCGACGAGGGGGTGAGCGGTTCGGTGAGGTTCCTTTGCGGGGGAGTTCCACAATTGAAAATTGAAAACTACACGGTTTTACTTTTGCACTCGGTTTCTCACACAAAGGCGGTGGCACAGACATACATATATATATATATACACCTATGACTGACTCGTGCAAAGTCTATTTGCATGAACGTAGCAGTGCCATTGAGAATTCCTTCCTGATAAGGGGGGGACTTGAATTTTGCGGGGCGACTTCAGTCACCTGCCTGCGCCCTTCCGTGGGGTGACTTCCTGTTGGTCGAACGCTCGTAGATACCATGATGTTCTATCTATCTTTGTACCTACCTATCTATGTATCTTTCTATCTATCTACCTCTGTAGAAAGTGAGCACCACAACATTTTTTCAAATGAACACACATAATGCCAAGCCTTGTCAAGCTTCAAGAACAGTGTTCCATCTTTTGGTTCTCTAAGTTTGATACCCTTGATAGAGTTCTATTTTTTCAACAGTAGCGACCTTTTGATACCCTAGGCCCTAGTTTTGAGATCATTGAGGTTGGCCATGGAGTTTCAGAGGCAAAACTTGGGCAGCCACAGGTGGAAGAGATTCATCTTCCGAATTCACCTTTCTTAACAAGTGACAAAGCCAGAACCTCCCAAGGACTCTACATAGTTGAAGATTCAGGCACCTGGTTCACTCCATCTGGACTTGGGTGTTGAAACAACTTTTCAAGTTGGAGCCACCGACGGCAGCGAATTGTCCACCTGTCGTCTCAAAAACGCTCAAATGGCGTTCGGATGGATCGAAACCAAAAAACACGGCCGTCCCTCAGGTGCTCAATGTGATGGTCTTCGGAGTGGCTAGGATCAAGACCGAACAGGTGCGCTTTTGGCCTTTCTTTCGGGGGAACTCTCCGAAGTCAGCGAGAGACTTTACAGCGACCGTAGTAGGTTTGTTGAAAGGTATGTTGTGTAGTGTTGGGCAGCTTATCCCATGGGCACTTATTTCAAACATAACTGATCATACATGTATATAAGGGTCACAAGCACCTTCTATACATATAATCAAGAAAACAACAACTATTCGCGGCGTCAATCCAATCTGTGATAAAACTGATTGGACAAGCCCTTGAAATGGTCCGACCACTTGGGCAAGGAACTGGGCTTATCCGGGATTTTGCAAGAAGAACCGCCTAGGAATTCGCTAGAACTACTTGTCCCAATATGGCAAGAATCAGATTCTTTAGACGACGAATTGTTTGGTCAAAAACAGCCACTTTAAACGGTTCGTGGCTTCCAGGACACCTCGGAGGCCGAAGGGCGACCACGCTGCTTCCGGATATCGAAACGCTAGACTCTCCGCAGCGGCGACCTCACGTGCTCACGTGTTGGCTTTTTTGTTTTAAGGAATCGATGATCAACGACGCGGTGGCCATCGTGGTCTTTGAAATCATGAATAGCGATGAGGTCTTTGGAGATCCTTGTGATCACCAGACGGTGCAGAGTGTGCCTTTAGTCACTCGGGATGCTGACATTGGACATACCAGACAGCGGGGGAAATATTTGTGTCCGCCAGATTGGCGCGCGAAAGCCGCAGTCAACAAAAACATATCCCCCAAGGTCCTTGCCCTTAAATGATCCAAACACTCAGTGGAAATAGGTCGCTGATTTGACAATTTCGCAACAAGGAAGGAGCAAATGGCCGAAGTTTGGATGAGCACGCGACGAACATGCGAATCGAGCGCTCCAGGGAGAACTTGCTCAATGATAATGATATCTTCTGGCCAAACTAGTCCTGAAATATCCCACCTACCTTAGGGTTCCCACATTGAGAGTTGGGTTCAGTTTTTACCAGAGTTTCCGAAGTTATCTCAGTGGGTTTTTAACATATATAATACCCCCCAAAAGGATTAGACGGCGAACAATTTTATTGAATCTGTTGAACATCATGTTGGTGAAAAGAATCTGCTTCACTTCGGACGTTCCGATCTTCATTCTCCATTAGTTTGAGACACACGATCCGACTGCCTCACGTCCTAAGTGGCAGTTGCCGAGGCGATCCTCGCAGGCATCGGGCAAAAGCTGGTGGTCTCCGTGCTGAGTGGCGCAGCAGCAGCCATCGCTCTGACGCTGCTGCTGCGCTTCGCCAGCCTCAAACATGCACAGCTCATGGAGATTCTGTACATCATGGCGCGAACGGGAAGAAGTCGGGTCCAGTGCGAACAAGGGGACCGAGTGTTGACTAGCACGTTTTGGGGGATGGATGGAGATTTGGTTTATGAAGCAGTTGGGAGTTTGAATTGGTTGACTTGGATTTCCTCTGAAGCCTTGGGTGTTTGCGGATCGTGAGGGTCAGTTCACCCAGCTGATCCCAGCTGTCGTAGCTTCGAGATTGTCCCGACGGCCGACGGCCTTGGGGTTGAAGCCGCCCGACCCGTCGGGTCAGGCTCCAGACCACCAACAGCTGCGGACCACTTGTGGTGAAGCAACACTGTGGGTCGCAATTGATCCATTGGTCGATGCTTATAGATGCTTGTAGACGATCAGTATTCTTCCAATGTTGTACGCGACATTTAAGGACATGATCCGCTAAAAGAGAAACACACCAATGTCTTTGCTCAGCCCTTCCCAGCCCAGTCCCGCCACGCCCCGTGAGGCCTCGGCGTATCTCATGTACGGCCTGGCCGAAACGTTGCACGCCTCGGGGATCATTGCCACTTTGCTGGGGTCCATGCTCATGGGAATCTACTCCAAGCCTCACTTGTCAAGTTCCTTGGCAGGGCAATGGGCAAATGGACTTGCTATGACGATCTTTGAACATCCTGCAAAGGGAGGAGTGCTTCTTTGCCTTTCTTGGCTTCTCCTCTCAGGTGAAGGGCTCATGTTGGCCACCTTCTTCGTGAAAGGTCGCATGCCGAGTCTGGGGCAGTGGGCGATGCCTTCCAGGGTTCTCTTCAGGAGGCTGAGCTTCCAGAAGTGGAACCTCAGGAAGAAAACCCCATGGCTTGAAGCATCCACGTTTTCTTAAATCAAGTCATCACCTGAGATCTTCAAGTCCAAGAAAACCCCATGGCTTTTGCAGAGGTTTGTGTCCCCTGTGCGGGTGTGGGATCCAGGGTCTGGACCGGGATGTGACATTTTACGGCGAACGGGCATCTCTGTGTCCTAGTTCTGCTGGTAAGGACAATCCAAAAGCCACTATTGGAAGGCTTTCTATTGGAAGCATGTCCTGTATTCCATTCAGCTGACATGAATGTCGCCCAGTCAGGCTTGTAGCTACACCGTCTACCGAACGGACACGGTCACGGTGTCATGTCCGAACGCACTGACGGTCAGGCATGGCCACACTAGCAGACACCTTTACCTTCATGATCGTTGGTACGGAGCTCAGGGCTGGGGGTGTTGCTCATGGTGAAACGACGCTCGTGGATCGACCGAGCGAAGCAAGATGTTCCTTCTTGGTACTGGAAAAAGGGGATCGTGCTTCCAGGATGTTGGGATCATCATGGGTCGGATGTGCCAAGGGATCCAAGTGGTGAGACAGAGAGGCCCATCCGGCGGGTGCATCTCCTCTTTTGAAGGAGACCTGCCACTTGAAACCAAGTGGAATAGGCAAGCAGTGCTATGTCTTCCATGCTTCCACTGAAGCGCACCTTTCTGGGACGAGCCACTGAAACGCCCAGACTGTGAGGACCGGAATGGGACCGAACATCCAGACGCGAACAGAGAGCCACACACGTGGGCACCACGAATAGTCTCAGTGCCTCGCAATCCCTTACAGAATCCCTGCAGACCCCTCCAGAACCTCTGCCCCCCCAAACCCTTGATGCCACAGACCTTTTGTCGCCTGAACGACCGAGTATCTGGCCGTGAACTCCCGCAGTTCCTTCCCGGGATTCCCGTTCTGTGTTCCTTCTTCCGCGGGCTCCGCGGTGTTCCTCGGTGTTCCTCCGAGGCATTGGCGCGGTGGCTGTGAGTACAGAGCCAAGAGCCTTCCATTTCAGCTTGTGGGTGATGCTCTTTTGCTTGGTAGGCCATTGGCCGCATGGGGGTGGGGGGTTGGCCATGAATTGAATGGGGGGGTACCCAGCTCATGACCTGAGTGCAGTGTTGGAGAAAGAGACCGCCCACCATGTGCCGCGATGGATCGACACCAGGTAGGTCCACTGGTCGGTCAACTGGGTGGTGACCCACAGCCATCTGTGTATTTCCAATAGGGGATCCCCAAGCTGGCTGGGTGTTCCTGGTCTATTTTCCGAACCTTTCAGGGGGTCGTTGCCGGCGGTCGGTCTCCATATCTTTGACTTCTCTTGGACATCTTTTCGACGGGACGTGGAGATCCAGCCTTCGTGACATGGGTGCAACCGGCCGCACAGTGTTTGCCCATGGAGCAATCTAAAGAACAACAGAATGGCTATAGTTAGCAAGAAAATTACACCCTCAGGTCCCTTTTGTGCTTCAAGTGACCAGGACTCAGATTTGATTTGTGCCAGCTGGAAGAATGTTGGTTAGTTTCCACATATATACTAGACTTGTTTTCAGACTTCTACTCAACTGATGGAAATCGCCATCCGGGGTTACAGGAGTTCTTCAAACATGTCTGAAATTGTTTACTGGAATCCACTACTGCAGATGTGGTGCCACCATCTCGTCATTCACTAGCCAGTTCTAGACCCAAACTGCTACAGCACCAACCACGTGCTACCATGCATCTCATCGATTCACCACCCGCACCATCCGCCAACCACGCAGGCCGCGCGGCCTGCATTTTGTTCTGCGGCGGCCTAGCCAACCTGCTGAAGGCGTGGCTCTCGGGGCATGGGTGCTCTCCAATCGCATCTGAAAACCCCAAAGATGACTTAAAGGAGCAGCCCCTGCTGTTGATGATTGAACTACCGAACAACACCCGGAACAGCCAAACCATCGGGTGCCCTTGTTAAAACACACATCCCAGCCTATCATGGGGGTGCTGGATGTGTCTTTCTTCCTACAAGCGTAGTTGAAGTTCCCATCTTCCCAAACCTCTCCCAGGCCATCTATGGTTTCCATGAGGAGGTTTTGTTCTGTGAAGAAGTTTGGACAACCGAAGTGTTGCTCCTTGCAGCCCACTGTGCCACACTTCTAGACACGCAACACCACACCATGTGCCCCGAACGGAATGAGACATCCTATGGCCACCTCAGCTTTGGCATGGAGCGGTGTTGATTGACTACATGCAACTGTCAGTGCTTGTGTCCCTGGCTTGGATCTTCTGAAGACCAACAGGTTTGCAGATTCTCTCCCTTCTCTCCCAATTCACCATGAGAGCATGGAAAGCGCACATAGTATTGGTACATGAATTTATGCACTGGATTTTCAACCTGACAACGACTTTCATCAAATCCATCCAGGCCCTTTATTCCACATCCAGCACCTTGAGGTGAGCCTGAGCTTCATCCCACAAGCTTGATCATGCTACTTATTGGCACTTCCTCCAATCCAATTCCCCACAATCCTCCAGGCTTGCCAACCAGATGATGGACATTTTTGTTGAGGCCTTTTCTCACTCCGTTTTCATTTCGTTTCGAACACTCCAACCGACCCCGGTCCCAACCTCCGTCTCAGGTGGCCATTGGCCGAATGAAACGCCAGACGGACGAGTCGGCTCCTCGGGTGGAGCGCGAAACGGTGAGCAACGGTGAGAAAAGGCCGGCGCAAGGCCCAAACGGGCGGCCAAAACTGTGGCACTTGGTGCGGGCGAACTGGATCATGTTGGAGAGATCATCTTGGGCGTATTGAATAGTGAATAGTAAGGCATTTTTCATGAAGTGGTTCCATTCTTGAGGGGACGGTGGATGTAGAATCACTCCAAACATTGCACCCTGAAGCTTAACATGGTTCACAACCTCTTCTTTTTTTGCCGGGTCACGGCGGGCTCTCGTTGACCCACGCATGATTTTTGGATGATGATCAGGCCTTCGAGAAAAAACACACATGGACCCCCCCCGAGTGGGAAAGAATGCTCAGCTGTTTGTGTCAGGTAGAAACTCCTCAACTAGCTCCTCCAAACGCAGACGAGTACACCGTCAGCCGTGCACCACAACTCGAAATCAATCAGCAAGTGTTGGGACACCAGCATCTGGCTGGTCGCACGTGAGGCACCGGTTGACCTATACCAGGTCTTTTGTTTCTTTCGCCCCATGGATTTTTCGAGGTGTTTCAGAATTTCACGACCCATCCCGTTCACCGGCCCCAGAAGAGCCCACCGGGCGGCCTGGTCCGCGACGCGGTGACCGGTGGAGAAACACCCCAAAAAGTCCGGGTTCGGTTCTGTGTGGTGCATTTGTGTTGGAGATCTGGTTTGAGGTTGCTGTTCGGGAGGTGCAACCTGTGGGCTGTTGGAACTTCTTTGGATTGGCCACTTGTTGCCATCAAGCTCCTGAATAGGGTGCCATGTCATTGCCTATGTCTACGTTAAAAGGCGCCCTGTTGTGTGCAACAAGGGTTTCTTTCCCCAAATTCTTTAGGATTCCTGGTGTTTTTGGATCAACTCTCATGAAATCCAAGATGGGTTCCCATCGACTCAGGAATGGCTTCTGCTCTCTGGGCGGCATCTCTTCATGATGTGGCATGCTGGCTTGAGAGGCAGATCCTGCATGGCTTGAGGTTTCCCTTTGGTTATTTCCACCATGAAACTGCCAGAGCTTGCTGGCTTGGAAGATCATCTTGCTCTACGGTGGTGCTGGGTCACATCAGTGGTCAGGGGTGTTCTTTGGCGAAAACGGGTGTTTTGATCAGCTATAGGTCATGTCAGAAGGTCGCCAGCTTTTGGGGATGGCCCTTGGGCCAACTGGCGAAGCCAGGCATCGCCTCTTCAGGCTTCCCACGAGACCCAACGGTGGAGTCTGGTTCTTCCTGGTTCCTTTTTTTTCGCTTCAGGAGTTCATTCCCGATCGGAACATCCACCCGAAGCATCCAGAAGCTTTGACTGACTTATCAACCTACCCCCGAAGTGTAGGATCCAATAGGGATGTGGCACCTGGCACTGACCCCTTAATTCCAAGAAGGACATCACCTGAGCTTGATGCTCTTCTCTTGCGCCCTCTAGGAAGCGCAAGGAGCCTCCTCAAACCGGAGCCTCTCAAGTCCAGAGAGTGAGCCAGCTCCGCTAGACATGGAGAGGTTTGTACTGTAGTACGGTTTTCTCCCACATCCTGTATTGAGATGGGCCGTTCAACCTGGTAGGTAGGCCCCTAACACCATATTAGCGAGCAATCTTGAGGTGGGATATGCGGGTCAACTCAGGTCTCCTGGTGCCGACCCGTTGATGGACACCCCATATAGATCACCTCTTTTTTGGGGGGCTAGTAAATCAACACGTTGAAACGGGGCACCAACATGGAAAAAACAACAGCTGGGCCACTTGCAGGCAGTCGAACCCGCTGCAGTGGTGGATCCACGGGACGGGTTCGTCCCCCGTTGGACCGTGCTCCGTGCTCCGTGGCGCCGTGCGGTTCCTCGCCACAGGCGCGATTGCCTTGGTGCTCTGTTGGGAGCTGGGCCCATGGGTCGATGAGACGGAAGGCCAAGGCACCAAGGAGACCTTGGTCACCAGTGCCTTCGGCCTTCGGCACGAACCCCACCGGGAGGAGCCCCGCGGAGCGTTCGTGGCTGGGGACGTGGAGTGGTCCTGCTTTCGTCGCCGACTCCGTCCGTCGTCCCCGACACCCCCCCGCAGCTGCTGCGGTGTGTGTTTGGATCAGGTCACAGACCGAAGCTCCCAGGTACCTTGGTGGTGATCTGCGTCTTTCTTCTGATCTTCGGCGGCACCACGCAGTGTCTACTGAGTAGCTTGTCCATCCGGATGGGTGCCTCGGCCATGCAGTCCTGACGGGGGCACCTTTTGAAGCACAAGACGTCAGGATGTGAGAAATGTCGACTAAAGATACGACTAAGCCTTGTGAAAGGATGTGAGTAACGGCAACCTTCTGCTATGTTGCTTCCCTTGTGATGTTTCGTTGAATCAACTGCTCTTGCCGACATCTCATCTCTGACGCAGTCTGCAATCTGAGAATTGTTCAAGTGTTTGATGCAACCTGTTCATGCATTCGCAGACACGCGTCTCAACTCGTAGTCCATCAGAGCAGGGTCTCGTCAGCCTCGTGTCTGCCTCGGTGCCTCGGTCCGCCTCGGTGCCTCGGCCTGTCGCGGGTTCTCCTCGACCGCTTCGGTGTAGGAGATGAGTTCCCAGAAGACTACTTGTCGGGTCACATGATGAACTGCATCCGGAATTGCGGCGGCACGGTGGATCGGAAGATCTTGTGGCCATGCTTCTTGGTTTGATGAGACAGCCAGGGGTGAAATGGTTACACAGAATGAACATATGGTGGATATTAATGGATTATAATTGGATGATATTATGGGATATTTCATACATATAAAATTATAGGATATTATAGGCTTATGTATATGTCACAGGGAGATCTCGTTAGTTTCAGTTTGCTCTTGCCAGGAGGTCTACTCATATGTTTCGGTTTCCAGTTTCTTTTTCAATGCAGCCTCAACAAATGGAGTTGCGAGCTGATGAAAATATATAACCAAGTGAGATTGTTACTTAAGCATAGACTAGCATATTGCGCTTTTATGCATTTTCTATAGTCCTTCAAAATGATCGATACATTTTCCAGCATTCTTGACACGGGCTTGACTTTTGGATCTACTTGGGGCGCTCTGCCAACACATGCACAAAACGGGCGAAGAGGCCTTGGGCTTGATCCTTTTGCTTCTTGTCTCAAAGCAACAAGTCCGATGGAGCAACAACGACTTTTATGAATTAGTCTCAGATGTGGCAGCACCGGGAGCCTTTTTTCCGATGTGTGTTGACTGGTTGACGGAATATCACATCAAAAAGACACACCCAGCGACGCGGACAGCCCTCACCGGTCTGGGCAATTTTGCACCTGAGGTTTGGTGGGTGGGCCAGAGCACAAAGATGAGTCCTTGCCAGAGATCACACGCCATGCGATTCATGAGCTCCTACATGAGACAGGCCTGAGCCACCGCTCCCAGGCAGGACTGCGACAGTGCGAGCATGGTTCAGATGAGTTTCTTTATGTTTGTTCTTTGCACTATAGTGGTTTCTGGGAGGTGCCCCGTTTTTGAGACGATTGAGGCATATCTTTGGGCTGTGAGTCCAAAGAAAAGATGCAGGATCAATGTGAGAGATCTTCAGGTGGAAAACTCTCCTCTGTTCCAGCTTTGGTTCTGAAGAACTTGGGCTCTAGAGGCCAAGTTTCACATGAGCCATGGTGAACTGGTGAAACTGAACCATTTGGGTGAGAGCTGTGTTGGTGACCTGTGTTGGCTCTCCAACTACTCAGAGGTGTACCATGACCATCGAACATGTTGTCGGTAAATGATCACACGTGACCAAGTTTGGGGTGTTGAACAGCGAAGACAACATCGCGCTTGCCAGCACAAGGTCAGAGATCGATTGCTTTTTGGTATGCGAAATGGGTCAGGGTCCGAAGAGAAAAACGCCTCGATAGAGAGCCCTATGACGCCAAGGGTACTTGGTTGGATCACATTTCCTCTGTGCCTTGTGCCTCATGCACCGGCTCTTTTTGGGCCCGAAAAGGGCCTCGGGGTTTGGAAAAGGGCCTCGGGGCCTCTCTAGTACCTTCTAAAGGAGCTCACCTGCTGAGTCCTTCAGAGGTCCAGTTGCATGGCTCTCACGTTGGGCGTCCGGGTGGCGCGGGAGACCCCGGTCTCCACGATCGCGCGGTCTCCCGGCACGGCGTGGTTTGGGGTTGGATGGAGGGAACCCAAAGCTTTGGATATGACGTTCGTAGCTTCTTGTTACAAGTAGCAATAACCTCCAACCTACTTGCGATGGCCTCCAACCTAGTAGCTTCTGGTTCCTGAAGCCAGGCCTTCTACCGGAGGAGCTCCTCTTTGGCCTCGGAACTGGGCTGCTACGAGACCGAGGCCTCCGAGGAAAGCACCTGAATGCGGCCAGGAATCTAGGCTAAGACATGGACCATTAAACTTAATTTGTAGGTTTGGCATTGTGCCGACATGTTTTGTGCTATCTTTCATTTGTTAAAGCTGCGGAAGAATGCGGAAGCCATTCTTGAAAGGTCAAACCATGGCTCCCGGCTCGCATGGTTAGTTCAGCCCAAAGCCTGGATGCCTTTCTTTCGTCCCCACAAGACGGAAGAGACGGGGCGAGCTTATCGTGGCTCGAAAGGTCACGTCGTACAATACCTCAAGCGATTCTCCAAAGATGAGGATCAGAACCCAATCGTTGCGCTTGCCGTGTTTTTCTGATGCACAATGCCGTCGAAAAACAGTGCCAGAAGTGGAGCTGGGCAGCTGGGCCGGGGTGGTCAGGTCTTGGGGCCCTGAAAAGGGATACTGTATCATGCGGACTTTCATGTCAAGATAGCTCATGCAAGAAGAACATTTTTGATTTTCATGGCTTTCAATTCGTCTTTAAGTCACCCAAACAGCGTGGAGAGCAGCTCATCCTTCATGAGCTTGTCTAGCCCTTCCTTGACTCTGACTGACCATCGGGCATCCTGACCATCCTGAGGTGCCACCTCACCATCTCGGGCATCGCCTACCACACGAAGCGTGCCTGTGACAACTGCGATCGCCCCATCGAGGACGTCCTTTGCCCGGCGGAAGGAGGGTGACTGGTCGGGAAGTACGAAGAATATATGTTTTTTTTTTCCACTCCGATTCGGTAATATCCTTCAGGAGGCCCTGTCTTGTTTTTTTTCCTTTTGAGGGACTTATCCTGCCTCCAATCATGAAAGTGGAAAACCGACCCCTGGGAAGAGTCATGATTTTCGTCTACAAAGAGGGGTTGTCCACTTCCATGATTGTTGGAGGGAGGGTGCACATCAATCCCGCATTATATATATAGGTGAAATTCTTAGCAGGAAAGACAGCAAACGAACAGTGGGCCATCAGGTGTCCATCAACAGTTATATTATTGGCATTGTTGGCATTGATGGAACAGAGGGACAACAGTTTGAGGCTTAGGTGTTCCAGCTGTTATGTCCTTTGTTAGTTATGCTTGCCCTGCACGCCTTAGGGACTTGTCCGCTTTGGTGGGCTATCAGAGTTTCCCATCTCTTGATGCACTGATGCCTTTAGACATGTGTGTCCTAGCTTCTTTCTTGGCCGATGTTTGGTAATTTCTCGTCTCCTTTATTTTTTGGGCCGTATCAGCCCAAGAATTGCATTTTTATGCGCTAAGCGCTGATCTACCTGATGAGAAAATTTTCTTGAGGTCGCAAATGTGCTGACCGCGCAGCAGTGATAGTCTTGACGAAACCCAATAAAATGCGGTATCTTTGGGAAAGTGCAGCGCATATATCACAGCACAAATGATGTTCGTGCTTTGAACTCATACGTGTTTTTTGCAACCTTTTCCTGATTTTCATGACCCGGGAACCATTGTTTCCTTTACAAAGAGAGTCATCCATGTGAGTCCGGTTTCGGCGTGTCGTTGGATCATCTGTGTGGGATCATCTGGTGGAGCAAGACAGCAAGCCTGGGCTTCTGTTTCAGTGTTTTCATTGGGATCTCCACCATGTCCTCGCCGGATGAACTCCAGAGACAGAGAGGTTAAAGATCCGGGGCCGGAAAAAACATGTGATTGTGTCCGACAAGACACAGGGCCACTCTCTTTCCCATCTGGACCGAACGAAGAACGCACGCCCGGTTCCCGCCTCTCGGTGCTTCGGGTTCGTCAGGACCGAGTTTGGTTCGCATGTGCTGAAGGTTGCGAGGCGTGGTGCGAACCACGATGGGATCCGCGAGAAGGGATCCGCTTCACTGGGCTCTGGATGCAATCTGCATGCGGTCGAATGACATCTGGCGCCAAAACAAAATGGTGCCGAACATTGGTGAACTGCCCAAATTTACCAATGGTGAACTGCCCATTGGAACATTGGTGAACATTGGACACAGACCTTGGACAAATACATGAAATGGTGCAACTTGGAGGGAGGAACTGAAGGTCACCTGAAAAAACTTCTCCATCTCTCCCCAACCGCGATCCAATCCGATGCCCTGCTGTTTGGGTGCAACGCCAACGTCGGCAACCCAAACATGAGGGTCGGGCAGGACACTGGGTTAGGTCTTTTTTTATTTATGTTTTTTTTTTTTTTTTTAAACACGTAGGTTTTCCGTGGCTGTGGAAATGCAGGACATCTTAGGGTACTCGTGCCAGGTATAGGATCTATCCCAACGGCGGGTAGGTCATGCAGTTCTCGCACACGCGGTCATCAGATCATACCAACCACCTATAAAAATAGTTCAAACATGGTGACGTTGTTCTGACCACGGCGTGCTGCACGGCCTCGGCCTTTTTCCACCCGTGACAGGTGGACTTCTGCTGCCAATGCCACGAACATCTTCAAACGCTCTTCGAGACCGGCGACGGCCAGCGCGCTGTCTGGGCCTCGCGCTTCGCGGCGCAGGTGGCCCAGCGGGCGCTACAGGCGCCAGCGGAGGAGCGTCAGGCCGGGGGAGGGGGATGGTGGATGGTTGGTATTAATGGGAGAAATGCCATAAGGTGCGATGTTCAGTATGAACACTGTGTTTTGCATGAACGTCTGGACATTGAGAAAGCATCAAACTAATTGGATGCTGAACTTGTCCAGCAGCGCGCAGGCCTTCATCGATATCCTCGCTTTTGATTGGCCACTCCAGATGTTTCAGGCACTGTGCCCGGCGGTGGGTGATGCTGGCGATGATCAGGGGGTTGAATTTAGTCCGCAAGTTTGGAAAAAGGGAAGGTCTAATGAAGGTCTTTGCTCCTCATCTTGGCTGATGGCTCAACTTCTAAGTGTTCAAGAGCCGGGCGGGGTTTGTAGTGCCCAACTCCTGATTGCAACACCTTTGCTGGGCATATGCTTCTCTGAGGTGTTTGGGGTTCCAATCCCCCCAAACCCAGGATGGAGCAGGGGCGCTGTGGCTCTGACCCGGTGACAGAGATTGATTTAGATTGGGACGGCCCAAGTGGAGTGCTTGCCAATCAGAAGAAACTCTTGCGAGATAGAATGTTTTAGTTTGTTTGAGTGCGCAATAGCAGGGACTTCACGATGAAAACAACACAACCTGCAAAACCCCACCAAAAGCATCCAAAAGCACACCAAGAGGACAACCAAGCAAAGGGACCTTTCTGACCCTTCCGACCTAGACCAATCCTTTCGTCCCGACCAATCCGCTCGTCGCGTCTCTGGAAGCTTCCGACCCCCCCCACAGAGCTGGGCCAGGACTTGGTCCGGGCCCTCGCTGATGTGGCAGATGCTCAGGTGGTTCACCTGCAGGCGGGTCGAGTCGGAGTCGGAACGAGGTGGAGAATGAACCAAGGAGTGAAGAGCGAGCTTGGCTCGCCGCGTCCTCACCGGTAGATGCAAAAGCTTTTTGGGGGGGCTGTGAAAGAGCCTGGACGAGGGGTGGTTGAGCAGAACGTGTTTTTTGTCCTTCTCCACCCGATTGACAACTGAGAAGCTTTTAGAAGATGATTTCTTGTAGTTTTTCCTTCATGAATTTGGGTTTAATTCTTAAAAACTAAAAAACCCTTCAACAGACATCTGCCTGCCTGGCCGAAGAACGTGTGCTCGGAAGGGAACCTGGTCGTTTGGTGGCAGAGGTTGGACATCATGTCGTTCGCTTGCAGAGGTGGTGCGGTAAAACCGTGAACTCCCTTTCCTCTAAAGTAGGAATCTATGTTTTTTTGGCTCACAAAGAACAACTTTGGGTGCTTGAAGGTGGGTGCTTGCCTTGAGAACCGAGAATCGGTTTTCCTTTCAGAACAACCGGAGACAAAATGTTGTCTGACCATGTCTGACCTGTGCTCACTATGTCTTGACAAAAAGATGACAAAGAGGGTTCCTCCTGTGATCTTGAGTTGTTTGTGCGGCCCCTGCACTCCAGCCTTTGAAGTCGAGGTTTCTCCATTTCTTTCAGAAGACAGGAGCACTTTTATGGGGACTTCTCCAAGTTGACCAGGCCCGAGGGTTTTGGAGAGTCCTGGTGGTTGGTTTCGATCTTCGTGGCCTTCTGGGTTTCCTCGCCACGTCTGGTGTGGAGGGAAGTGGCCAAACACCAAGCTGGACGATACATCCCTGCAGTCCCTGCACTCCAAACGGCGGGTCTCCATGGGACACTTCCGGACACGCATGGGGCGGCCAGAGACACCGAAGTGTGTCCAGGATGGAGCAGACATGGATGTGGCGGCCGACGCAGACTTCTGGTCTCTCGAAGAGAGAGTGTTTTGGGGGAAGCTCCAAGACATGTGGAAAGATGGAGATGACACATGTGGAGTCCCGGATCACATACGAAGGGTTTGAGGTTTCTCTGTTGGATCTTGGGGGCCGCCACTGAGTGGTGGGAAGGTGGCAGTGAGAGGTAAGAGCAGTATACAATCCAGCTATCTCGAGCTTCTTTGGGTCAGTCTAATGATGAGGCCTTCTCAGGTCGTTGGCTTGCCATTCACATTCAGCTGGCTGTGCCAAGTTTAAGTCTTTCATGGTCGATCAGCTTTGAGGGAGGAACATGGAACATAGGCATGTTTGGGGTTCCAGAAGTGTTTTCTTCATCAAAAGCTCCTTGATGCCTCGGACCACTTCTGAAGCTTCTCGTGTGTTTTGACGTGAGGCTCCACCAGCGTGTCGGGGCTTTGAGCCATGAGTGTTCCCGACGGACCAAAGGACTCTGACGGGCCGTACCTGAATTTGGATCCCAAGACCTGTTTCTCTTCGCTGAGGCACCTGGTCGGCTTTCTACAGCTCCTGCGTTGTGCGAATCAAAAACCAGCCAAGGAGTGCACCGTTTGCGGGTCGGCACCCCCTACCCTAGGGCCCGAGGTCCAAACATCGGACCCAACTCATCCACCGTGGAGTCTGACTGCATTTCACCCAAGCTTTCACCCCAATCACCCCCAAACTTTTCCGAATGACCCTCTTTCTGGCCGAATGTTGTGCTTGCTAGCTGCTCGTTTGGGGCTTCCGGGAACTTCTTCTTTAGAAGCGTTTGGAATCAACAAAAAACGATCACCTTCATCATCAATCTCAAACCAAAATGGCTCCACCCTTGGATCTCCCTCACCCCCCGGATGCTCCGTTTGGTCCGCGCGCGCCTCAAAGCGCCTCTCCGATGGCGAGGAGAGGCGCTTTGGCGAGCTGATGCTCCGTGGTCCGCGCGTGCCGGAGAGCCACTTCGTGCTGGGCGGCCTCGACAAGTGTGACGCCCAGGCGCGCTTGCAGAGCTCCAGCGGAGGGCCGGGCGATCTACGGTGACGGTGGGGAAGGGGGGGTTCGCGCGGGGGGCAGTTGGCTTTTCTGGGCTTAGATCACGTTTTTTTCAATATGTTTTTCATCGCCACATTCCAGGTGTTTGCTTGAGGAGAACGTGGTTTTCCCCAAACAAGGCCCCTGAAAGTGGCCGACACCGTCTTTCAGGTACCTTCTGTTGCTGTACTTCTGACGTTCGGTGGCGGAGTCGCGTGTCGCTGTGTAGTTCAGCGGGACGCCAGGCAGAATGGGAGCGCTGGAAACGGTACAAGGCATCGGGTCAGGGGTGGCGGATCAGGTCGGGGGTGGCGGAAGGTTTGGACTGAAAGGAGATCCAAACAGGAGATAAACCAAGCGGTAAGCCAAACACACCGCTCTCTATTAAAGGATATTAAAGGTATTTAAAGGTATTTAAAGGTAAAGATGGGTGAGCCAAGATGGGTAAGGAGTGGTAAAGATAGGTAAACCAAGCGGTAAGCCCTTGATGGACACATCGAAACAGTTGGGACATATATTTCTGGGCTTGGTCAAAACTCTTGATCAAAACTCTTGACACACACACACACACACATCGCTCTCTGTGGGTTTAATTCAACGTTCAAAAAATGTTGTGCAAGACCAAGAGCATTGGGTACTGCATTGAAAAGGAAGCAATACAGAGGACACTCCTCTTACCGTGGCAGCGCTCCATGGCGCCTCGTCTGGACCATGGCAGGACCATGTCCGCCCACCAGAAGAAGTAGTCTTGCAGGCAGAGTTCCAGGCATCCGGTGGAGATGGAGGTGGTGAGGAGAAGTTGGAGAAGTTGCAGTTGAAGGCACTGAGACTTGCAACGTCTGAAGGCACTGTTTGACTTCGTAAAAGAAGTGCGAAAGAAGACTCTTAACATTCTTAACATCTCTTCCTCTCAGCACCTTGTTTCGCGGGCTGTCTTCATGTCTTGAGGTGGGTTACCCATGGTCTGCAGTTCCTGTCTCTGGCAGCGAGAACTTATTCTTTGCGGTGAGATGAGTCATTTTACTTAAATCCTTCCTACACTTGCCCTATGGAAGATGGGAGGTGATTTTTTCAATGGCATCACTTTCATGATCCCAGAAGCACCCAAGCTCATCCAAGCCCATCTCACGTTCACCCAGGCACACGTTTCAACTGCTCCATTTCGATCGGCCCCTAACTTCTGCGCGCCCTCAAAACAAACGCCCACCAACTTCAACCAACCAATCGCCCCCCAACAAAACACACCAATTCGCCGCGGGCCGGTTCCAGAACCAGCCGCGGGAAGCTCCGCGGCCGGGCTCAGACGGCGGCGGGTCCGTCGCTCCGTCTCGCGCGGGCGGCAGGTGAGTGGCGCCTTTGCGCTCTTTCTGGTGCAGGGCCCCCTGGTGCCCCTCTCCTTCCGCGAGCGGTGCCTGGAGGCGGACTTGGAGGACCGGCTCGTACAGGTGAAACGACCCGTGTGCCTTGGCGCAGAACGGAACAAAGCGGTGAAAGAAGGCGTAAGACCCACAGGTGCAGGGAGTTTCCCCGTTCTGCAGATGTTTCAGATGTTTGTTGTCCGCTTTTTCACAGATTCTGCCGATTCTTGCCGATGTTCACGTGTTGGAGGTCGAAGTTCGGGGAGGCATGGGAAAAGGTCACCAGGATTCCGGCCAACTTCCTCTACGGGCCGCTCGCGGTCCTGATCTAGCGGCGAACACCCATGTTTCAGCCCATCGAGAGGAACCAGACCTGAAAAATGTCGTGCGAAAAAATGGCCACTGCGTAGACATTGCGAATGTACATTTGCTACTACCCAGCACCCTTCCGGTCTCCGCTGGGGTTGGGAAGGGCCACCACCATACATCCACGCCTCGACACATCGGGAACGGACGCTCTGGGACCTGTCTGCTGACCGCTTGGACCAAACGCCAAACCGTCATGGGCGGTCTTGAGCGAGGCATCCAAATGGTGTGGTAGTTGGATAAACAGAAACGAATGAACTGAGACCTGCAGCGTATACAGCCTGTTGCATTGATACTGCTGGCGTACGCAACTTCTTCCACCATTCCACCATGTATTTTGCGTGCTGCCTTTCCCATAGATCCAGCTGTGGGTTGATTTGCCAAGGGACCAAAAGCACGAAATCAGTGTCCCGCTCTTGGACGCGCAAATCGTGCAGCACAGCGGAAGGTGGAGCGACTCATGTGGATGTCCATCTCTTTGACTCGAACTCAGCGAGTCATGTGGATCCAAGTGGGGGGCAAACATATTTGGCCCAGCGAGTCACTGGTTCAACAAAAATCCCATTGGCACATCCTACTAGAGAGGCCCTTTGGGTCGAAACATCTTAGGACCAGGACCGTGCTGCAGCCACATGGTGAGTCAAGTTTCCTCCCCCACCAAACCATCGACATCCCTTATATATAAAAGGGATCTCTTCATTCTCAACCAGATTTTTGACCCGCAACCACATGATGTCCCAGAAACGATGTCCAAACCGAGGCTCAGCTGCCAAGTGCCACGCCGGCCGCCACGGAGTTTGCGCCTGGGCGCCGCCAAAGCCTTGAGCCGCGTGGATCAGCTGAAGCGCTTGGAGGCGCACTTCACACGGGAAAGGCGCGCCCCGTCTCCGACCGCGTGGGGAACTCTGTGCTCTTGAGCACCCACCTGGCGAATTACACCGGCAATTCCCAAGGGTGTGTCAGGCTTGTGGAGAGGAATTCTAGCACTTAACTCCACCCTTCTGGAGAAGAAAAGATCAACCCTACCGCTCCCAGCACCCGCGAAACAGGAGCCGTGCTCGGCCGTGCCCCCCCGATGAAAGACACGTCACAGGGGCCGCGGACTCGGCGTCATGCGGGAGTTCTTGGCGCTTGCCATGGAGGTGGGATGGGTCACCGATGAAATCCGCTCGCCATCGGCCATGGGGGCCTCCAGGGTTGGTGGATTTGGGGCCAAGAGTGATTTTCGGGGAATTGAAAGTAGGACTTGCAGCCATTTTTTGAGACGAAAATGGAGAGTTTGGCCAATTCCAAGACCTTAGACCGATTGGCTCAGCTGGTTTGCGGTAGCTATTCAGGTAGCTTAGCTGCGTGAAAGTACAGTGGTTGGAAGTCCAGTTTGGATAACCCCTGCCAGAGGACTCAGATAACCACCCAGAGCTCCTACAAACCTCAATCTTTTGCACCGCAATACATTAATTGAACAATATTTATACTATACATGTCAACATTTACAATCTACAAAGACCAACACTCTCGGCCACATCAGCTTGGAGTGGCGTCAAAGATGCCCATGGAGTGCAGGAAGAACTCCTGGAACCTCCAGTCCCTGACAGTGCTGTCACCTGGTGGGCAAATTCAAAAGTCAGTGGGTTGAAGCGATTTATATAAAGGGTGCGGTGTGAATTTTAATAGGGAGACCCCCAATCAATGGGTAGACAGGTCTATATAATGGACTTTGGTTTGTTGTGGTTTATTTCCCTTCTTCCAGGAGGTCGAACTGGGAGGTCTCCCTATTTGAATACTCACACTGATTTGCTGAATTCCCTTCTTGACTGCTCACGTGGAATTGCTGCTTGTTTGTCCCGCGGCTCGATCGGTGCAGGCCTTCATGTCCGCCAAGAGTGGCAAGAACCTTGAGGATGACCGTGTCGGGCCGTGTCGCCTTGGTAACATTTGGACTGGCAGAGTGCCACGCAGAACATGGCAGCGAGCGGCACAGAATCTCTCTGGTCATGTGGTCGTTATGATCTTTCATGATGTTCCATGTCACCAACAACCCACAACAAATCAAGAAGACAACACGTGTTGACAGATGACGGTTTTTGGGTACGGTCTCAAACAGGATCAGACAATTGCATACAATTGCAAACCTCAAGATAGGTAAAAAGAAAAAAACATGACATGTAAAACACATGACTTTGAGCAGGTGACCAGTATCCTCTTGTGTTTTGTTGCAGAGCCAATTGACCAGGAGCAGCAAATCATTGGAAAAGGTCTCAGTGTAGAACCAATTCCACAGCTGTCCCCCCATTTGGCTTGCGCATGCTTAGCATGAAAACTGGGCGATGTCAAGCATGGCAGTCATTAACGTATCGCAGATTCACACAGACCTGTGTCATGGTATCCAGCGCTCTTGTCCAGTTCCCTGTGTGCCATGGTCTGAACACTTGGTTGCTGGGAGTTGAGGGGTTGTCAAACCCATTAATGACCTCTGTACAACTTTCCATAGAGTCCTTGTAGGGGTCGAATTACTATGCACCCCACATCAGTAGTTGTTCATCACGTGATCATGAGATCATCGTCTTCACCGATCTCTGGCTCAGCCGCACCGACCGCGTCGCACCGACCGCGTCGCGACCGACATGGCTGGGGGCCGAGACCGACGTTTCGATCCACGGCGCTCCTGGAGCACGTCGAAGCAGCCTGAGTTGGCACCGACCCTGGGAGTACGGTCGGTGACGTCGGATGGACACGAAGCCGTACATGGAGTAACAGGTCAAACGAAGAGAGAGTAGAGCTAGGATCGAGATGGTCCCCAAAGATCAGGTCATTCCTGTCAGTTTTCGATCTTCACGGACACATATATCCCATCCTGCATGTACAGGACAAGGACCACGAACATGGGATAAAACGGATAAAACCTCCCTATCGATAGGTCATGGCACCGCACTTTTCACCGTACGCGAACCGCGTCCGAAGCGCCGTTCACGTGCTGCGCTGCGACGTGCTGCAGAGCGCTGAACGTCTGTAGGTCGCGAAGCGAAGCGAAGCTTCACCGTTTCTGTCTGAACCGAAGACGGACATCTTTCCACATGTGTAAATCTGGATTTCTTCTGATTTGAATCAGTTTGTTTCCTTTGCGAATTCAAACCATCTGAAAAGGTCAATCCGGATCACTCCTATCTTTCAGGTGGAAATCACCCGACTTAGTTCTTCCTTTAGCTTTCGCCCCCGCACCTGGGGCCGTAACGCTTTCGCGACACCCTGGGTCGTGACTGCGTGAGACGACGAGCGGCTTCTTGTTACTAGTAGCTTGCTAACAGTAGTAATGGCCTCCAACCTAACATATAGTGATTTTTAATATCCTTTTGGGCATGTGCAGATTCTGCAGAAAGTCCTTTTTGCACCAGGTAGCAGATGCAGTTCCCTTTTCTCTACAGATGGAAAGCGGAAGAGTTGGGGAAGCAACCCCGAAAGTGTGGGCACCAACACGTGTTCAGAGAGTCAGAGGCGGGACATCTCGTGCCTACGAGTTCACCTGACCTGATCCGAAGGAAGGAGGTGTTTTGTTTTGTCCCAGCGATCGGAGGGAGGACAGGGCCATGTACCATGTAGCTGCATTGGCTTTCTGACTTGACCAGACCGGGCTGGCACCCTCAGGACCTCCACCCCCGGACCCCCTAGGATTTTGGTGAACTTTCTGCTGAAGCATGGCTTCTCCAGTGTGCAACAAGTTCATGGTGGTCTCATCAAACCCATCCATGTGGCTGCGGAGATGCCTGGCTGCGCAGTGAGCGTTGGCTGCGCATTTCATCGGAAGAACCCCACATCATGGGCTGGGGAAATGGGTGGGGACCGGCTGGGGACGTCTGTGCATCTTGGGTACATGGATTCTGCAAGTAGGGGTTGTTTAAACATTGTGTGATTCTAGACACACCATGATGTCGCATCTCATGTTCAACGGACCTGAAACCATGGTTGGGCACAGACTTCTCTGCTCTCCTCTCTGCAGAGAAGATTGCGCTTTCGCAGCCGACCGTGCCAGTCCGGCACCGCTGCGAGGATGGGAGATGCCTTGATCGTGGAGAGTCTGCTGGAGGCAGGAGTGGATCCCACGCCCATCCTGGAGAGCGGGCTTTCACCCCGGGATTTGGCCAAGATCAATGATGACGGCTACGGCTCGCACGCACGGGTCTTGGAGCCTTGGCAAGCCGACAGGCAAGCCGACAGGTGACCATTCTGCAAACTGACAGGCGGGAAAGCTGATAGGGTGTCTCGGTCCTCCATCCACAAGCCCCAAACATCCAGTGGTCGTCCTTCCTGATTTGAACCGGTCGGTACGGTCGGTACTGGTTGTTTCTCCGGAGTGCCAATGATATGTTGTGAGCAAAGGTTTTCATCTACCCTTGTTTGCAGGTCCTCCAATTGTTGTTTGAGGTTGTGACATTGGGAGACAGCCAGCGTCGGATTCTCACGACGGTTGAACTGCAAGCGTTGAACTAGGTGATGAAGGGCGCCTTCCCCAGAACTGGGTCTCCCGGTTCTTTGACACTGTCAACACTCTTCACCGATTTGACATCCTCGACCATCCTCCCAAGTGGCCAACTTGCTCCCAACAACCTCGAAAACCTACCTCTTCATCCCCGCTGAGTTGGCTTCCCCAAGTTTCAGAATACAACGCGGACAGCAATTCTGAAGAAAGCAAACGCAGCGTCCTCGTGTCCTCCAAATGGTGCCCAGACGCTTCCCGCAGTGTCAGTGACAGCTAAGATTTTGTGTCAACGAGTGGGCGATTTCCAGGTCGGAAAGATTGTAGACTCTCTTTCTTTTGGTCTTTCTGTCTTTCGCTCGAGCAAGAGCGCGCTCCCCTCTCTGGGGTACCGAAGGTGATCCCACAAAGTGGTTGACACGAAGGTGAATGAGTCCTTGTTGGCACAATGGTGCTTTGAGTGAGATTGATTCCCGGGCAATTGGGGACCAAAACCTTGGACAGTTCTCACATGTTCTCACCATCCAATTGCTCGGGAATCAATCCAGGTTTAGTTCCCAAGTTGCCCAGGGTTTGGTCCCCCAAGAGTGGTGTCAATTCAGTATTGACATTGGTTTCAGATACGGGTCCATTTTGTGCCACCCAACATGGGACATTTGTGCCATCCATTGGTGCCATCTACTCTCAATCCCACGAGAAACGCCGTATCCCAGTTCTCACCCGAGGAGCTCTTGGATGAGGCGATCCGAGTGACTGCCGTGGCCTTCTGAGCCCAGCGCCCCCTGCCCCCCCAAACCCCGCCGGATGTGTCACCATCAGGGATGTGGAGACGCCGGATGCGCACGGCCGCAGTGAAAAGCATACCATTCAGTTGCAGAAAACAGCTAAGAAGGGTTCCCGGATCTGTCTGGAAAACATGGAAAAGACATGAACAGAATCTTTCTGGTTCCGTTCCACCTTCAACGTTGGTTCCAACAACCCCTGAAGAGGCTGGTTTGGTGAATTCTTGAAACGAAGCACGACGAGTCGGTGACTTTTCTTTAGAGATCTTTAAAGTGCTTTTCGGCATCCAACTGCAATATAATGCAATCATATATATATATTATAATATATATATATATAACAATTTCGGTTATTGACATTGTCCTCCAATTATGGGCGCAGTCTGAGGCGGCGGAGCTTCTTTTTCCGTCCCAAATGATCACTCGCCTACCTCTTGGGTTTGTAGATCTTCGCGCCCCCAGTCGATGGGCCAAGACGGCCGGTGTTTCACTTCAGCAGTTCGTCGAATATAGTCTCACTCCAACTCCAACAGGTGCCTTCTCAAGATCATGATGTTTTTTTGGATCTCTTTTGCGGTGTGCTTTCCGATATGACCCCCGTAGATGGAAGTATTCGAATGCGGACACCATGAAACCATGGTAGATGTATTATTACTGCGAGGAGTCTGGACTTAGAACCAAAAGGCGTATTCTTGTTTGAAAAAGAGAGCCGGTCTTCCGGGGAGATCGTTCAAAAGGCCAATTGAGTCCGGTCTGCGAAGGGCGCGACTGGCGCATGTCGACTGGTCGACGAGTGCTCGGTGCACCGACCGAAGGCATCAGATTCCCTGATTTCGTGTGTTTTTGTTCAAGGCTCGACCTGATGTAAGGTGAGGTGGGCAAGTCAGGAAAACTGCAGATAATCCTTCGGCAATTTTCCACTTCCGTGCTTGTTTAGTAGAGGGTGTTGGTCCATCATGACTTGCCTAGCCCAAATACTCTGAATTTGCTTGGGCTGAGATCATGAGCACTCAGGCTTGAGCTTGAAGCCGCTCTGATTATTTTCCGAGGCTGCTGCTCCCTAGCACATCTTTATGTGCATGGAAGCGTGAGTTGCCTGCTGACCGCCTATAGGAGTCTATGGCGTGCACACGGGCTGGATTTGCATAGGCAGGCGATGGCAGGTGGACATAATATGCATTCATCAACTTTGAGGCACCACTGTTTGGAAGCGCATTCCAATTTTCCAGTTCCATCTGAAACCCGACACTGCAACTGCTCAGGAAGACTGAAAGTCGTGGCCCTGGGCAAATGACGCGTAGATGATAGGTGTTTGAGCAAGGATGAGAAAACAACGCCGCTCCATGGTTGTTGAGTTGAAGTTTGACGCACGAGAGGAGGAATTTGACACAGAATGGTTGATCAAGTATACCCCAAAGGCTCATTGTTTCTGTATACTAGTGTTGGAGTGGGCGTTGGTCATTTGAACGTTCCTGTGAGGTTCTGGCCAAAGAAGGACCCTAAAGGGGATTCAAACAAAAGCCCCTGCAGAACCAGGATCCGCAGGATCACTCGATTCCATTCCTCTTCTGTGGCTAGGTGGGATCAGAGGACTTCCTTAGTTGTGAACTATGGCTTTCCTACCGGACCATGTTGATATCACAAAAAGAACACCAACCTAGCAGGAATTAAAACCTACTTGAACTCCCCCCGCCAAGCCCGCACATCATAAACGTTCCGCGTGAGAGCTGGCAGATTGCAGCAGCTTTATTTTTGAGGAGAGCCTTCAAAGTGATCTTGGATTGCTTTGAGAGCACTCAAGTTTGCTCAATTTTTCAGTCAGACTCGATACCTTTTTTCCTTTGGCCAAGCTGGCATCACTGCAGTACAGGCAATCTTCCGCGTCTGTGCTTGTTTAGGAGAGGGTGTTGGCGAACGAGGAAACCTGCCCAGCAGATGATATATATATATATACTGTATATGATGCTATTCTCTTAATATGAAGTTGCCTACAGGCTCAGAGTGAACCTGATGACTCTCAGGCAAAAGCCTGAGACAATGATTTTCCAAGGCTCCTGCGAGTCGTTGCGAGGTACTGTTGTGCATGGAACGTGAGTTGCTTGCTGACCTATGACGCACCGTTGTTCGGAGAGGAATTAGACTCTTTAAGGAGTTCCACGCAGCTACGGCAACTGCTCACGTTGGACAGAGAATCGTTGTCCTGCACAGATTCCGTGTACATGAGAATGATTTGGATTCGAGCATTTAAGGCCGGGGAAATTCTCACAAGGCCACTCCTAACGTTAAACAACATCCAAGTGGATAACACGTCCGCTGAGAGACTCTTGCTAATTAGTTATAAGAGGTGGTCAGTGTGACCTTCAGGTTCGTTTCGACGATAGTGTTGGTGAATGAGAATTGCCCGGAACATGATGCGGATTCCCTTATCACTTGCGGGCAAGTGATTGGGTCCGAGGCTTCAGCTCTCACTCACTCAGAGTGGTGCGGTCCTTGGTCCTTGGTCCTTGGGGCGGCTATTTTTGGGACGGGATCTCTCCAAAGAGTCCGGCCATGTTCCGCTCACGTTGGGCCGCCCAGCATACACACGACCACACGATCGGCAGGAACAAGTTTGCAGCGCCCGCGATCAGCGGTCACTTCGTGACTCCACGCCGTGACGGAGTCGAACGTGAGTTTGATCGGCCAGAAACCGCCAACATGGCGGGCTGATTCACGGGAACTTCCCGAGAAGTTCGCGATGAAGAAGTGAATAACTCTCAGATCGAGATAGCAGGTCATTCGAGTCAGGGTGCTGTAAGCAGACCCTTTTCTTAGCGACTGGGGTTCAGTTTTCAAACAGATGGTCTTGGCACATTAACAAGTTCTGAAAAGGCTAAGGTGAACGAAGAGTTTGAAAGTTCATTGTGTGCAGAAATTGGTCCTCCCATGTTCTCCCCGTCCTCCGTATTGATCTAAAAGTCAGCTAAACTCAGAACTCTGTTACACAATTTCTTCGTACCATGGCAGAAAGTCATTTGACCATAACCACGCAACTGTTTTGCTGCTTCAGAGAGGGGCAGGGACCCCCCCAGTCCGCCTTTCTTCGGACGAAGAAAAGCGCACCAGGAGGGTCAGGCGCTCTGGGACTATGATCCCAACACCAGGAGATCCGGTTAGATCTGTGCGGGAGCGAATTGATGTTCTGCTGCTCCAGTGGTTTGGCCGAAACGATTTCAGGACTAGGGGGAGGCTTCGGGCAAATACAGTACAACCAGAGAATACGACTGACTTGTTAAGGCGGCCCCGTGCGGATCGATTCTCTTCCGAAGGGAGTGTGCGCTTTTGCACGGTCGCCAGTCGTCTGGTTCTTTGTGCTACCAAAACAGGCTCCGTCTTCCGTAACAGGGGGCAGGGCTAAAAATAGAAAGGCAGGTTGTGAGGAGATGCCAGGACCAGATATGGACCAGGTATTCTCTTCTGCCGAGCCCATTTTTGGGGTATTTTTACAAAACAATCCACACGTCACATGGTCTTGTTTCTTTGCTTCCTGACAGAGATCTTCCACTTTTTGAATGATCATTCCAGGCACTCCTTTTTTGCATTGTTCGTTTTCTTGTCCGAAGTGGTTGAACCTGCGCATCAACCCACCCCTTCGGGTTCAGATCCGGAGGTTCAAGCTCGGTCGGCTAGAAGGATCACCGAACCTCGAGTGATGGCGGTCTTGGTCCACTCTTCAGTGAGACCCTGGCTCTGGCGGCCTTGGTGGCCCTGGCGTTCCATGTTCAGACTTTCTACAAGCCGCGGAGGTTTGTTTGAAAGATGTTTTGAAGTAACTCTGATCAAAACCTTTGAACTTTGCCTCAAATCCCAAGTGGACTATATCTGAATGTCAACCCCTTTTCTGGAGCCCGAAACGAGAACCACGGTAACCACGGAGTCTCGAGTCTCGTCTTGAGGGTTTTTCCTCCAGGACCTTCTGGTTCTCCGAGCTCCCAGCTCCGCTCAGTGCCCAATGTCAGAGCCTCTTCCGCGCTTGCGGCGTCCTTCTCGCGCAGGCGATGCTCAGACCCCAACAGCGGGGTTCGCTACGAAAAACGGTTAAATGGGGCGGTGTGGTGAACTTTCGTGCAACGTGTGGTGAACTCCATGACTCCACCGGTACGGGTGTTGGGAGGAACTGCAGCCTGGGATACCAACCACCGAATGCTTGGAGCGCCCCACCACACGGCCGACAGACGGTCGAGACGCATCGACTCTCGTCATGCGGAGAGTCATCAGGGACAGGTTGGCTCGGCTCGTCCAGAGAGGGAGGCCTCCCTAAACCACCACTTCGGCTGAGGAAGATCGTCTGCGAAGAGGTGCCAGGTTCTTTCGTTCCGTGATTCATAGCAGCTTTTGAAGAGAGGTGATTTCTTCCTGATGAGAAGCCACAATCCACAAGATGAGCCATGCTCCTGTGGAAGCGCCACCAAAAAGGCACTGGTGCTGATGAACGCGAAGCTTTCTGCTCACTTCCCAATAGCAACTGCCGCTGGCGCTTGTGGCAGCCGCAAATGTCATGACAAGGCATTCAAAGAAGGGCTCAGATGGGTGTACATTAGCATAGGGAGACCCTCCTGGTTGACCCCCTCTGGAAGAAGAAGAACCGCCTGGCCAGGGAGAATAGACCAAGACCAATTGGTTGGAGGGTCTGCCGATTTACATACACACCCCAAATCCACCAGCCAGGCATTGCTCAATGGCACGCGCTTGCAGGCTGGGATGCGGTGACCAATTCATTGAAGGGATGGGCTCATTCAGCTTGGAATGTTGCTGTGACCGAGGTAACCAGGTAGATGACCCTCATGTTCTGTTGATTTTCCTTGGACCACTTGGTTGCCTTTGCCCTACTCTGTGAGTAAAGAGATCTTGGGACCAGATGGTGTAGGTACTTTACTCTTTCGACTACGGTGCTTTGAACCCACGGCGGCCAACTGAGTGCCGCCGTGTTTCAGTCGAACACACCATGTGTGGAAGATGAACAACACGCCATGGCTCGTTGTATCGTTTTCAGCGTTCCATTGGCTCCAGAGATAGTATGGTGCAGGTGTCATTTTGTGTGAACTCCGATCGACTCTGGTCAAAAAGAAGTCACTCAATAGATCAAACGCAGTCACTCAGAACGGTCGCCTTGTGAACCGCTGTTCAGCCGCCAACGGGGGCGGATTCGCTGCCCCCAAGAAAGCCATGGCGATCGGGGTTTCCGGGGCGATTCGGAGCTCTTCCCTCCGCCAGGTCTCTTTCCCACCGCTTCTCTACAGCCTTCTCCTTCGGCACATAGGCCCCGCAGCCGAAGGAGGTTGCTGAGGGGAATTGTCACGAGTTCATTGGAGCCACGAAGGGTGTATATAGAGGGGACTCTTTTTTGTCTGACGAGAGTTCTACCTTTTCTTCCTCCACAGTTGCACTCCAAAACAAGGTCTGAACAGGTTCGGGTTGGTCGCCGTCAAGTAGCCGTGGAGTTGATGTCGGTCATGCATTGGTGTGCGAATTCCATCAACGGCCAATATGGAGCACCTGACATCCGGAGATCCGTGGTGGTTCACGCAGCAGATGGCATGGATGGTTCACGTTGCTGCGACCAGCAGGCGACCAATTTCACTACAGTTAAAATGACATGAAATCATGTGTTCAGGCCGTGGTGTCCAGTGTAATTCTATGCAATTCTGCAGAAACACCTCCCACAATGTTTCCCACTTCCGGGGAGCCATAATCAGATTCCAGTGAGTGTTGGGTAACATTTTCATGGACATGTCATAGAGAGGTTCAAGTGACCTCAAAAAGGACCGAACTAGGGTCCTTCAACCTTTGTTGGTTTTCACAGACTATCTACATCTTCTAGGAGGCCATCGCTATTAGGTTGGAGGCCATCGCTAGTAGGTTGGAGGCCTTTGCTATTCACAGATTTCCATCGATTTGTCGTTAGAGGCCCAGCTAGGCCCAGCTTGCCGCTGTTTGAGGCGCCTCCGCACCCCGACTGGGCCTCACAGACTTGGCCTCGCTCCGGTGCGGTGTCCGGGGTTTGGCCGGTGGGCATCGAGTTTGCTTCTCCTTACAACCTGGTGTTGCTTGTGATGTATGTTTAAGTTCCCCTATGGGTAAATCATGGTAAATGTCTTGTGGGGAATATTATCTTACTTTTTGTTCCTTGAGCCAATCCAAGACACATATCACCTGAATTAGTTTTATGCTCCATGCTCTCCCTGTGTGCTATTGGCTCTGATCCTGCATGGTACCTCGGCCACCAGATGCACGAAAAGGGCTGCGGCCGTGTTGTCCGTCATATGGTTAGACGGTTTATGAATAACCCCCACCCAGTAGTGGAGATGTAAAACCCTTCTGGAAAGGGGATTTATTCAATCAAGACTTCAAGAGTCCACATGACTGTTCATAGATGTCTTGGGACCTTTCAAAAAGAAGACCAGTTGGAGGTGCACCCACCTCCATGTACGCTTTTCTTGGGCTCCAAAAAGGCGTGGCCTAGGTTTGAGATGGTTTGAGGGTCGAATGTCTGGACATTCGACCGCTGGGGGTCACCGGTTTGAACCACTGGTTTTTGCTTGAAGAGGTGGGATGAAAACATTGAACATCCTCCAACCAGTAGGCCTGAGATTTGAGCCAAATATACATCAAATACAGTAGAATCTACTGAGTAGATGTCTTCGATTAGCAGCGAACAATGCTTGTAACATCGTTGGTTTGGGCTCCCTCACCCGTTCGTATTCAACGTGCAGGGCTCACACCCCCATCCCCTGGCAGGGCTCCCTCCCTGTGTCGCCGCCCTTCAGGCCATCCTTGGCGAAGGGTCTTCAAGAGCTTCTCCAATACGAGGGCTCGGATGTGGGCGAGGCTGGCGTCGTCGTCGAAGTACACCACCGCAAGAGCCAGCAATTCGGGAGCTGGCTTCAAAGTAGGATTTCATAGGGTTGTCGGCCATCAATTGAACCATTATGAAACTTGACTTGGCATTCCACGTCCCACTGAAAAACACCAAGTAGGAAGCCCTTTGCTATGACCAGCTTCAGCACATCCCCATATGAGTCAAAAAGCCTGTGCAGCCCCCGTGCCTGGTGCACCCACTACCCAGGTGCCGGTGTGTTTGGTCTTGGTTGAGCCATTTGCACCTCCCTATTCCACGCGAAGTGGCAAGTAGAACAAATGGTGCAGTTGTTAGGTTACAAGCGAGCTATCTCCCTCTTGCTTCAGGAACTGGGAGAAGGGGATCAGCCACCGGAACATCCACCGGATCCGGCAACATTCTTCCGTTGCCCAGTTACATGCTGATAAGATCATGTATGATCCTAGAATTTCCTGTTTGCACTCTACTTGGGCCCTAGAATTCCGGTTGCCACCTCAAAACCTCAGGCTATTGGGGTGGAAAACCGTTCATTTCCTCCGGGCATGCCGCGTTTCACAAGCACCGGCTGCTCCCGCCGTGGTCAGGTGTTTCCCTTGGACTGGCCCCGAGGACACGAGCTTTGCAGCAGTAATCGAGCCGAACATGCACCTCGGAGCGGCACGACCGGGCCTGGCAAGGGAAAGTGTGGGGCCAAATTAGGGGTCCAGAAAACATGCGACTTGATATGACTGAGTTTTCTGTTTTGTACGAGGCGAACTCTTTTGTACGAATGTCCAAGGATGTCCAAGGTGAAGTAAATTGTGGTATAGAGATTCTGTCCTGGTGAAACCACCAGCTGCTTGTTTTCAATATCTAGAACCTTTGGTGAATCTGCTCCAATTCTGTAAGATAGTCTCCCGATGTCAACCTCCGGTGCCTTTGGTGAGCTCCGACTGCTTTGCGTTCAGACTCCAAAGACCCCCTAGCTCGACCCCTTTCGCTCGCTGCTAGGCTCGTTCGGCAGCCGAGAGTGCCGAATCGGGGCCGAATCTCTGGACATCGGAGATCCCAATCTCTTCGGATGACTCGGGTGAGTCGGTGTTTAGAGCCCCAAAAACCAGCTCACTGGCCAGAGGAGGGCTACCATGGGCTACCTGGTTTCATCCGTATACATCCTTTCCAGTGACCGTCTGGGGTCTGGTCTTCTTCGAGGTGGAAGCATTTGTCGAGTGGTTCTTCACGGAGAAGTTCCGTTCGCAGCTGAAACCCTTCCTGGATGGCTTCAAGGATGTGCTCCACAGCTGCGACTTTTTGCAGGTCGGGCTGGGACCGCGGCCGGTCGGCCACGCCGGCGGGAGCGAGGCTTCACTGGGAGGATCTTGCGGGGAGGGGCGGGGGATTCCTCTAATATGAAGTCATTCTACAGTCAAACGTGGTGCAGGATCAATCAACTTCCACTCTTAGCACGTTCGCACGCGAGCACGCTGAGGCCATTTTTGGGCCGTTGTTCCTCGGTCTCGGTCTGAGGTTTTTTGTGGGTCACCGGAATCTTGGTTTCGCAAAGAAGGGACTGAGAAAAGAGCGGTGACCATGAAATGCGTTCTATCAACTGTTCATCACGGAACTCTTCGGACTGTCCATGAAAAATACTGATTTGATCTGATTTGTGGTGTTCAACCAAAACTGTTCTGTTGACATTCCGAAGTCTTCATCAGAGTCCTGGGGTTGATCCAATTCTTGTTCCTAGTACATGGTAAGAATACTACTAGTAGTAATGCCCTTTGTTACTAGTAGCGATGCCCTTTCTCCTAGTAGCTTCTTGTTACTATAGTAAGATGTAGTAAGGCCAGGAGCTACTAGTAGCGTCCCTGTTCCTAGTGGCGATGCCCTTTGTTACTAGTAGCGATGCCCTTGCTCAGCAGTGTCTTGTTACTAGTAGTAAGGCCAGGAGCTACTAGTAGTTAAGTTTCCCAAAAAATCTAGGAACCAAACCATTAGCGCGAGCTATCCTGCGTCCAAGGTAGTAGCTACAGCTACTAGCGACTCCCTAGCTACTAGCGGCCTACCCCCCCCTCCTCCCGGGCTAAAAAAAGAAAAGATGCCCTACTCTGCTTTCCAAACGCGCGGTTCCTTCACTTTCAGGAATTCGTTCTACACGCTCCATGAACTAGTTGCATGCATCTCGTTAAGTGGTTTCACGCCTCCGCGGGAGGCTGGAGTGCCACCCTCTTCCCAGACTCAGAGTTTAGTCTCAGTGGCGAGGGTTTTCGCTCTAAGAACGGTCCGCCAGATGTGAGAAACGAGCGAAGGAACATGTGGACGTTACTTCCCAAGGGGGGGGGTTTATGTCTCAACAGTCTTCTGGAAGTCCAGTCAATTGGTTACCCGGTTGATCAGTGTAAAATCCTCCTTGTTCGGTAAAGGCGATTCAATAAATGGTGTTTCGACTTCTAGGGTTCAGGAACAAGCTTAGCTGAGTAGCTGAACCGGTGGGCGGGCAGCTGACCCGGAGCAATGATCGACTGTAAATAGCCTTCCAACCAGGAGGCCAATCAAAGGATCTCTTTTTTTAAACACCCATTCCTTTTTCTGCCTTTTTGCTGATGTGTTGGTGTCCACCGTGCCGCAGACCTTGGTGAACGCCAGCCAGCTGGAGCGGCCTGCGAGCACAGTGCTTTTGCGGGGGTGTTGGTGGGTGAAGATCATGGCACCGCGATCCACAAGGCTTGGAATGGTTTAATGGGGTTTAACAATGTTTAACTATACCCATTGTCTTCAGGTCTGTTCTTCAACCACACTTCAGTGTTTCTTCTTCTGTGGACCTATTCACCTCTTAATCACCAATCTTCAGGTGCCTGTCTCCTACCACTGGTCAGATTCGACCCGGAACTGGTCGAACCCCACCTCACCTCACAGCTTCGTGACATTTAACGCTTAACCTCGGAACTCCCCCAGTTGCGCTTGGCAAATGGATGGAACTCCCCAGTCTCAGTCCCACTATGTCTCACTTGTTGTGTACAACACATTTGAGATACCTTGGGTGCGTGTTGACTCTGTTGATTCAGGTTGATTCTAAAGCACAGACCGAGTGTTCTTACATGCTGAAAACGTAGTAGATCCAGGAAGAGTGGACTTACTGGACCATTGACCACTCAACCTCTCAACATTCCTCACAATCACTGGCAAACCTCGCAAGGTTTCACGCAATATACATAATATATACGTTGCCTAAAGCTCAGCAGCTGTTGTCCAATCACCACAGCCCCCCTTTGATTTACGGATTCAAAAGGTTGCGGCCACCGTGACCTGTATGTAACTTTTGCCCTGCTGATACCTTTCGCATGGTCAGAAACCTCCTCACCAACTGAAATGTAGGTCTGCTTGGGGTTCCTCCGTCCTGACGAGTCCAGACGGCTCACTGCCCTTACACCGAGCATCTGGACGCAGGAGCAAATCCTTTGCGGGGTGGAGGAGCCTCTAGACGTACAGCAGCTCAAGGCAGGTGTCGTGGAAAGTCTGGGTGTCGTGGAAAGCATCTCTGGAAGAGTCCTCAGACTAGAATCTCTTAGGCCAAGTCGTTATTGTCTTTTTTGCATGGTTTAGCTAAATCTTGAAACGACGTTCTCCGAATATTGCGAGTTAAAAAGAAATCGCTACTTTCGTCTATGCTCTTTGTGGGATTCCTTTCTTTGGAACCCTTCCACCCTTTGAGGCATCCTAAAATCGGCTCCATGTTCACCCTAAAGCGGGCCCGCCTGGTGAAAGCGGGTGCCCAGGTGAAAGCGAGAGTGGAAGGCTTTGATCACGACTTCAAGGCCGATAAGTCGTCGGTTCGACCGGTCAGGCGACTGACCCGGGCGGGCTGACCGGGTTCGGTTTTGGGGCCCTGTTGATGTGGGGATTGGTCTCATTTGGAGCGTAGGAAGATGAATTTGTTCCAGACGGCCACAGTTCCTTTGGTTTTGAACTGTTGTGCCATATGATGTTGCTTGCTCCTTCGACAGCCTCTGCAGACACCAAATACGGTTGGAGACCAAGACGAATTCCTCCAAGTTTGCCTTCCATCTCTCTTATTTGAAGCAGGGCAAGTCAGTTTTCCCCTCTGCTGGTGATCCCTGCCGTTGAAGCAACATGGTTGAAAGATGTTGAACGACAGATCTGAACAACACAGAGTCGTACCTCAACCATCGTGCCGTAGTCGTAGGGCGGACGATCAACGACGAAGAGGATCGTAGTTATTCTTATAATTTCTTATATATCCATGCCATAGTCCTCAAAGATGTGGTCCTTAGACAATATTGAACTCAGAAAACCTGGCCGAAACACTTTAAGAGAATCACCAGCAAAGACCCCGTGGCTTGGGTCAACTGCAAAGACCTCGCTTCGCCCGGAGTTCACCCAATAGCACCCAATAGCACATTCCCAATGGATTTCACACCGAGATTCACCCGATCAGAGCCCCGCCGTTGGAACAGGAGATCTTCTGGTCCGTCCTCGAATCCTTGGACGACGAGCAGAAGCGCCGCTTCGCCCTCTTCGTCTCGGCCTGTGACAGGCGTGGCGGCGGTGCCGGGTATGGACGGAGAAGGATCCGCTTCACCCCATGGGGTGAGCGAAGCCATTCGAACTTGATTGGTTGTTATTAAAGGTTATTAATATGGTGTGAAACCTCTTAGATCCGAGGTCGAATCAATCTAGTTCGACCATTGTTTCAACAGATTGGAACATGAATTTCAGAGCATGTATTGTTCATCCCCTCCCTGTACGTCCCAAATGCCGAAACACTGCCCTTGGAGAAGGGCATGATTCGTTGATGAAGAGAGGGGATGCCCCCCAGGTATATATAGAACCACTCGATACATGGTATCCAAATGGGATTCCCATCACAGACTCACCGACCCTCGTGGTTTTGCAGGAGGCCACCGGAAGGCTGGCAGCACTTCGAATTGCAGGTCCAAAGGCGTGGACGTCAGGTGAAGGAATCCGACCATCATATTACAAGATACGTCAGGTGAAGGCTTGGTTTTGGAATCAGGACACTGCCTTCAAGCGCCCAGTAGGAGCTCAGACTGGTTGAGTTGGGCCCACATTTTCCTGAGTTGCACGGAGTTCGTCAGCTTAAGAAAAAGGCAAGCGGAGAAATCCGACCACTTTTCACAGAGACTCCCAGGTGTATCCCGGCAAGAGGGATCCATGTAATGTATATATTTTGTTGCTGTTCGATTGTTGGGAACTCTTTGAATTTCGTCTTTCTTTTTGGACTCCATTGGGTCTGGCTGAGAAAGATTATTTCCAGGGTCCTTGGAGCATGATTTTGGGGGGTTCATGGACTCAGCAGCAGGATTATGTTCGGCACGCCAGCCATAGGTACAAGGAGCCAAGTTTTGTTTACAAGCAAACACAACGCAAAATAACAGCAAAAGTCCAGCAAAAAATAAAGCAAAAACACGTAGCTTTGCGTGTTTGTCGCATTTTTAAACGTCTATTTGTTCGCAATTTATCACCTTTTTCCTAGGAGTGTACAGCGAATATTGCTGACGGGTAAAAGTTCTCATACGTGCAGAAGTGGTACGAGTAAAAACGCCAAAAATAGTAAAACACAAGCAACAACAAAGCAAATTGCGTTGCTTTTGCATTTTCATTTGCTTTTGTTTTGCTTTTTGTTCCGCCTGTTTTTCCACAAAACTAGTTATTTGAAGGTTGGTCATGTATGGCCCAGTATGGCTGCCATTGCTGGCCACATAGCAGCATGGCTGCCATTGTGAGAAGAACGAGGCTCACATTTCAAGGCCCCCTATCTACACCCTAGGGATTCAAACAACCATTGTTTTTAATGGTCTTGAGTCTTTACCAAAGCACCATTGTTTTACTAAAGATTTTTACACTACACCACCAGCTCAACCATTCTTTTAATTGTCTTTGAAGGCTAGGGTATATATATATATAACCATCAGTTTGTTTCGACATTGCTGGTTACACCGAAAACGCATATGCTTCGGGGGGATTTCAGTTTGACCTGCAGGTCAAGACAAGAAGCAATTCCGCATCCAACGGTTTCCACATGATGAATCCAACCTCCCCCACCAAACGATGGTAGGTTGACCTCCCGTTGCCCGGGTCGGGTGCCTTCCTGGGCACCTGTCCAGGAACGGGGAGGACGACGATCGGCTGCCCACCGTCGGGGGTGCTGAGTGTGCCTGGGTTCGGTTATAGGCATAGGGGAATGCCCAATGATATGGGTTGGCATCCTATTGAAATATACACCCAGAAAAATGAAGACCCGCAGTTTTTTGCAGATTTTGAGATGGTGAACGACTATTGTTTGGGATGGAGTGGTCCAAAAAGCGTTTTGACTTGACAACAACTCGTCCTGGAGGAGTCGTTTCAGTCGGTTTGTCAAAGTGTTTGCCAGTGCTCGTCTCTGAGTGTTTGGAAACGTGTTTGCATTTTCATCATTTGTCAAGACGGCAATTCATACGAGCTTACGAGCTTGTAGCTTCTTTTTAGCGGTGGTCAGTGGTGGGACACGATTGATTCTGTGATGAATCGCAAATCTCTTCCCGAGATGTTTGTCAATGTTTGTCATCACCCAGTTTGGCACCCTTTTAAAGACCAGGCTTGGGTTCACCACATCTGCATCGTAGAATTCTGAGTGGAAAAGATTTCCATGAGGATCCTTTGATCAAGTTTTCAGACAAAGATGGTCCATACCATTCCAGGATGTGCCTCAGCCTCCTCCCACAGAGCTGGATCAACCAGCATATCAACATCATTCGCTCATTGTGGCCAACCAGCTAGATCCGCATCGTAGTTTCAAACCCGCATAAACCCGCGCCTCGAGGCTTACACCTGCTTCACGCTTTTATTGATGCCACGCTATTCCTCGGGCGAGGCCGAGCCGTCGGGGGCGACGGACCGGGGAGAACGGCGACCCGACACCTGTCACAGGTGTCTAGCCAGCCCCCCCAAGCGGTGATTTGGGGTGTGTTTGTTCACCACCCCGACTGGGGGTCCTGGAAGTTTGTTGGAATGTTTGGGTTTTTGTGCGATTCTCTCAATGATTTTGTGTTCTCACTACAGTCAAGTGGTGAAGTTGCATCGATTTTTGTAAAAAGAGGCCCTACCATTAGGGAAAGGATGCTGGGGAAGTCGCATCAATTGTCGCAGTCTGCTCGTGATTTGGACACCTTAAGGTTCAATATTCCTTGTCGCAGTCTGCTCACATGGGCAGAACAGAACCCGGCACCATCACGTTCTCAATCACGTGGTTGTGACATCACTCTTTCCTTGGTTGGCACAGCAGCTTCGATGCCACAGTAGCCGCAGAGTTCCGTTCCGCACACCGAAACCACCCGGGTCTCCCCAGGTCTTCCGCGAGCGCCTGCTGGCGGCGATCACCGAGACGGAGGAGCGACCGACCGGGGGGGCAAACACGGTAAACCATCGCCCCACCGGGGGCGATGGTTTCGTTTTGGGCGCCAGCTGGGTTGGAGTAGTTTTTGGAGTTGGAGAAGAAAGGATGGATTTTCTCCCACCAAAGGAGGTCCCCCCAACTTCATGCTGTTTTTGTTGCGATGGATGAGAGGAACTCCTGTGTCCATGAAATCCGTTCCATCCGACCCAGATGTCTCCCTCTCATGTTTCGCCTCTGATGTCTCGCTCTCGCCGATGTTCTGGTGGAATCGACCCGTGGTGCTGCAGGGCTTTGGGCTAAGCTGAGCAAGCTGAATGGAGTGAGTGAGCGAGTGTTTTTTCTGCGCTGCGCGCCTGAGGATAGAACAACTGGGGATTTGGGTCGAAAGGAGCACAGTGAGTAGAGGTCCTAGACAGATTGGTGACACAATGGTTACAGTAGTAGAGGTGAATGGTACACACATGTACACACTGTAGTACACACACACATTTTCTGGGAATGGTCAATGTTAAAGGTGTTCATCTCAAGGACAGGGTTTGGAGCCCAATAAAGTGGTTTAACTGACCTGACTTTGGGCTTTCCCTTTCGGAAGTTGATGTGAAGGGCCAGCTCCCACATCCGACCATCCTATGTAATGACCCAGGCACACCCATGAATCGATGCATACATTGACCGTCATTGACCCCATTGATGATTCCCCATGTAAGCAACGTGCAACTATTCCATAATTACATGGATGGATGATGGTTTGTGGCAGTTTGTTTCTGAAGGCTTCGAAGGCTTTTCAGGCCACGCGTCAAGTCAGCACCCAGTCGGTACCAGGAAGCTTTGAACATCTCAGAGAGTGCGTCGTGCATGTCAACCCAACCATAGAGAAGATCGTCGCCAAATCTGTCGAATACTATCATCCGTCGAAACCTGCCGCTGAGATGCTGTATAAAACCACAAATGACCAATCTTGAGCCCCAAAATGGGCACTTTCATTCCAAAGTGTGGGCGTTATTTTTTGGACGAGCCAAGCTGCCGAAACCGCCGGAGCAGATGGACGATCCTCAGGAGCAGACAAAAACCAGTTCGTAGGATAGACAGTATGTGTGTCTGAGCGCAATGTTGCCGCTCCTCTTCGATGATTTGCCCTGGATAGAACAGCTAGCAGATGAAAATGCAAAAGCTGCAAAAACCCACCCTCACCTTGATTGAAGTTCCCCTGCACAAGATAGTTGGAAGATGTTGGAAGGTGCATAAAACCAACTAAGTAACTTACTGTGGTCTTGTTGTTTCTCTCTCTCTCTATGTTTCTTTTGCTTCTTACGTACAATTTCGAAGAGAAGCGCAAGCTGCACGCAGAGAGCCAGCCACTCCATGGTTGGCACTTGGAAGCCATGTCGCGGCACTGGAGCTAATGTCCAGCGTTTGCCAAGTGAAGCAGCGAACAAAGAACAGCTTACTAGCCTGGCCAAGGTACTGGGACGTGCAGTGACTTGATCATGACATACGATGCTGTAGCTGTTGCTTCTTCGTACACCTGAAGGATCCTGAAAGTCATTCATTCACTGAAACTTGAAGGCCGTGAGCTTGAGTCGTTGTTTCCAGAGTTGTTTTTTGTTGAAGCCATGCTGAAGTCGTTCTTGTTCCAAAGTGGCTTTCTTTGTGCACCTAATCTAGATGATTCCGGCATCCTCGTGTTGGTGGTCGGACGGAAATCACTCAGCCGCATCCCAGACGTTGATATGTTGTGACCGGCTAGGAGCTGGTGGACATTCCCGTTTGCCAAGATTGCTCCTGCTGGTGTGCTTTTTGCAGCACGGTGGGTTGAGGACTCTAAGGAACTCCCCACTTACATGAATGGATCATGTCAATGCCAACACCGGATTAATCGACCCTCCCTTTCAAGGTCAACCAGGTCAACAAGGCTTGGGATTGGAGGGATTGGAAGGTTGGTTAATCCTGTGTGCGCACTACTTGAAGCCCCCGTCGTCCTTGGGGTGCCATCTCTTGAGGCCGGGCCATCGATGAGGCACGCCTCATCAGGGAACCACCAGCGAGAGAGTTTTCGCCTGAAAGTCGTTCGGGTCATGAAATCAGCAGCCAACTACTGTACCGCGGAAGTCGCGACGGATTGATTTACTTATAAGGTGTTTATTTTGGGAATGGGGAGAATTCCAAGGACCATGGCAAAAGGAAGGAAGACTAATTAGGACTCATTGGTTCAGGGAAGTTCAGGGTTTCGCAAATTCTACTTGGCGGGAATCTGAGTTTTAGGCTAGTGAGTTCTTGTAGGGCCTGGAAGAGGATTTGTTTCCCCATAGGTTTGACACCATTCGATGGTTCAGCCAGTAAAGCTAAGTCTGAAGCCTAGTATCTTTAGACCTGGAGTTCAAGAAACAACACCAGACAGGACCATCCGTTCGGGGTCACGAATGGACTACACCACTCGGGCAGTGAACATCCCAACGGAATGGTCCAGCAGCGTTTTTCTGGAATCTTGATGTTTACAGACCTCACCGGTGTCATCAGCTTGATCTGTGATGATGTGACTGACAAAAGCGCCCAGCAACACCTTTCGGACGTCGCTCGCCAAAGACCTTTCGCACGGGACCAGGAGAAGGCGCCTCACTCGCGTTTCCAGCTGCACTACGACTCCGTCCTGGCCAAGGTTTTGACGAAGACTCCGCTTGGGTTGCGAGTCTTTGGACTTGCTTTGTTGTACAATCACCCACAGAAACTTTTTCAATGGGTTACTGGGCTCCAAACGAGTTCATTCTTCCTTCCCCCTCTTTAGTTCAGGGTTCTGTTTTTGCACCAGGATCCTGAATCCTGTGAACGTCTATCCATGAACGAACCACTGCCTCCTTTTGCTTCGTCCGAACCGAGCGTCATTGACTTGATAAAGTATGAGAAACTCGGGCCCCGCCCAACCAAGCTTCTGGATGCTTCTGGCTCAATGCTTGGTGGGTCAGGAAGCAGCATACTTCCGGCTTTCGGAAAGCTGGTAGGGTTCCGACCAGGAAAACGGCTGTTCCATCTCCATGTTTTTATCCATTTTGGCGTGTTCTGCCACTGCCATGCCACGAATTCAGCTCCCAAAACTTCGGGCCCGAACGGTCTCTTCTCCGCCGAACGGCTCCCGCGGCGCGAGCGACGCGACGCGGAGGTGGCTGGCCATGCGGCCGCCGACTTCGTGGTCTTCGCCGAGGCCCAGAGCAGCGGCGACCAGGCGGGTACGATGCGGAGGGGTGGAGGGGTGGTGGGTTCTGGACCTTGATGAATTGAGAGTCAGAGGGATTTGTTTAGAAGGTTCCAGACCTGGGATTTATGAACTGTGCTGCAGTATGTTTTTGATCCACGAGGTTGGTGTACACACCTGCGGACGAGATCCACACGCGTTAATACAAATAGAGACAAACTAAACAACAACAGAAGCATTATGCATGTGTTTCAAAACCAACCACATCTTATATCAATATTATACATAATTATGTTAGAATAGATACCACTTTGTAATGACTTTCGATGACTTGGATGTTGGTTACATCGCCAGTCTGGCCTCAGTGCCTGACCGGGGCGCCGGACCGTGCAACACCTGACCGGGGCGCTCCGGAGCATGGAGGCTCCGCTCCTTGTCGGGTCAACCCACCCGCTTGAAGGAATTAAACAGTGTGACTCATGGCAGCTCCTTATAGTCATAAATAGACTACCCTGCTTGAAGACTCATATGGACCCTGAAAACCACTGGTTCCATGTGAGTTTCCAGGAGGGTAGATCTGGAAGAAACGGGCTTTAGACACACAAGACGCAAGCATCTCAAGAGGCAATGTGCATGCCCTGGACGTCTTCTCACTCATTTTCAACCTCATTAAAACGGGTCTGAAAGACGAGGTCTGCACAGCCAAGCCAAAAAGCTAGGATTGGTGTTGGAAGTTGAGGTACCCTCCAACTCACTGACGAGAGTGAACCCTCGTTCCTTCAAGTCCCTACTGTAAGTGCTCCTTCTTCTTCCTCCTGACCATGCTGCGGCCTCCTGTGGTGTCATTGTTGAATTGTGCCTTGTCTCCGCTGCGTTCAAGTCGACGCGCCCTCTCCCCAGCTGGGGAGAAACGTGGCTCGGGAGGCCATGTTGCTGCACAACACCCGCATCAAGCCTGAGTGGCTGCTGGAGCTTGCGTCGGGGCACATGTTTCGATGGAGGGAGGGGTGGAGACGGTGAAGGAGGACGTTCGTGAAGGCAAACTGGAGAAACAGCGGACTAAAGGCGGAGAAGGACTGGTTGCTATTCAAACCAGGTGCAAGCCGCCAGAGCACCTGGTGGTTTAGGTGCTTGTTTGGGTGGCCCCTTCCATTTCTTTACCATCTAGAAAATCACGCTTTGGAAGGTGTTCTGTATTGGATCAACATTGATTGACTGATTTTGAGGCTGATGTCCAAGGAATCATTCTCTCATAGATTTATACTACTGACTAGTAACTTAGGACTTGTCGGACATACACGCCAATTCCAAAAGCCTATGTCATCAGGATTGATCCAACATTGGCATTTCCTCTTAAGGCCTATGTCATCAGGCCACAACCATGATATTCATAGAAATATGTATGAGGTATTCAAGGAAGCAGCGCCCGCAAAAACACATAGTCGCACCCTATGTCACCACTGTGTCACCAGGGTGCCAGGCAGTGGTATCTAGCATTATTTAGCTGTTTTTTTACATTTTTTGTCGAGGAGGTGTCCACAGGTCCTATGACACCAGGTTTCCCAACCCAGACCTTTTTTCAGCTCGATATGTCAGGGCACATGACTTAGCCCTGGGGGTAGCCAGATTGGTATGTCACTTGCATCACGTTGGCCTAAGTCATTAGACAGTAGTATACAAGTTTATACGGCATGTTCTGTTGCGGATGCGGCAAAGATGAAATCAGATAACTTGTGACCCTCACATCTTAATTCCCCAACATGGACACTTGATAGTCCATGAACATGACCTTGTTTTTGCATCCGGTTGGCCAAATAATGTGACGCATGCAAATCCTCTGAACGCCTCGTTTATGCAAAGTGGATTCGCTCGTGTTTGCAAGCAGCTGGGCATGCAAGACAGCATGAAAAGCAGAGCGAGCATGAGCGAGCTGTTTCGCATGAAAAAGATGCTTCGCCACCATCCTTTGGGGCAACACCTGACTTGGACGCTTGCTTTGGCGGCCCTGAAGGGAATCACCAATGTCTTGATGTCATGCACAGCGACAGCTCTTCTCAAGTTCATACAGCGGCAGCTCCGTTCTTTTCAGTGGACTTCTCAATGTGTTATCTTTTTTTTCACCGAGGCCGCACTACTTCAAGCAGATCCGTGCCGGAGAAGCCACCATGGACCTCTGAGACCGTACGGAGCGACCGAGGAGACGCGGAACGAGCGGAGGACTCCCGGAGGACGTCGATTCGAAGGATCCGAAGGATCCGAAGGCTGGTGGAGTCACACGAGAGCAGGAGTCACAGGAGTTGGATGGAGTTGGAGTGGAGACCGCTGGAGACCCGGGAGGGTTTCGGAGTTCGGGACTTGGATCTTCAGTGGTGAAGAAAAACACGATCCCTCGTTTGAAGTTTGAGCAAGCGAAGCAATCATGTTTGGCGTTGTACACCACTCCACCGACCATGGTTCGAATATGTTCCTAATTCGTTTGAAGACAATGATCTGGCCCCTGCCAGAATTGATCGCCTTCAACCCGCGGCCTGGCAGGAGTTGCAGGCAGATCTCCAGAAGAAAAGTGTTTGAGCGTGCAGCTGATGTGGGTATGTCCGACATATAGGACTTCGCAAGCTGAATATGATCTTGTTGACCGCCCTATATTTCCAGATTCCCCGATGCAATTTGGGGGAGTATTACAGTATCAAAGAAATTGATCAAAGGCATGCATCATGCAGAGATGTTCAACCCGACTGACATGTTTTCTTGCCACTGTCGTGCTGCGGGGTAAGTCCCCCCATTCCTGACGATCTACGGGCTAATAGCTTCTTCCTCCTAGTAGAGATGCCAGGAGCCCCTAGTAGCGTCCGATCGCTCCTACTAGTAAGGCCAGGAGTCCCTAGTAGCATCCTTCAAAAGGACGTGCCCAGGACTTCCAATTTTTGTGGCCCTTCCCATGGAGAAAGGGTGCCAGACCTGACTCTCGATTCTTTTTTGGGCGACTCTTGTTGGTGGAGCAGTTCCTGCAGCGCAACAAACCTTCAAAATCCTCGCACTGCACAAACCTTGTTGATAGACACATCCACATGTGCACCGTTTGTAAAGGCACCGTTGGTGCCACACACTTCGCGCAGCAGGACGGTCCATCTTCGGTCTCCGTCTCACGGTCTGACCGGTGAGTACCTGCGACTTCGACCAATCACCGAGCTGGGAAGAGCCAAACAAACCTGAAGCACATGACCTCCGATCTTCATTAGTGAACAGTAGACGAATGAAGGCTCACTCAGAGCAGTGAAGACGGTGAAGACACCAGGTGTTCTGAAGACGCCGTTTTGGGTCGATGGCTGTGGCCGTTCTTGCTCAGCTGTCCGGCAGAGCGGGCCGTTTTTTCGGCCGCCGGGGGGGGGTTTGCCCCCGTGGGCGCGCTGTCGGGGCCTGAGGTTCCTTAGCTAGATAATTCGATTAGATACGATTAAATACTATATCATGAGATATCTAGATGGACAACGAAGTCAGTTGCTAAATGTTCTCTTGGCTGGTGGAACCATTCTTTTTTCATGGAACAAGGATAGATGGTCCAGCCCTTGAAAGGAGGGATACCTCACGACTCTTCCTGCTTTTGCCTGCGATTCATATTGAACAAACCGGTGAGTCCCCTTGGTTTCCGGGAATCTCCAGCAAATGTCGTCATGTTCTCCAGATTCCCCACACAATAGACCACCTCCAATGGGTTTGCATGACCTGAACGACTCGGGGGTGCCGGGCAACTCACGTCGACGTGTCGAGGAGTGCTCCCTCTGCCCGGTGACCAAACGGCGCCACTTCGGGAGGTGCCATGGCCCGGGAGCCCGGAGGAAGGGACATGAGCCGTGCTTCCAACAAGGAGTCCGAAGCAGTGGGAACATCAGTAGGTGGGGCCGCGTTGAGTTGGTACTTTTGGTGTCCTGAGTCCTTAGAAATTCGACTGCCAATCTGCGGGACGATCGGATAGGTCGGACAGTCCAGGGTCCCAAGCCATTGTTGCTTTTCTTCCAACCGGTGACCAGTGGTGATGGGCCACATTGTATCTACTGTTAAAGATGTGAGGAACAAGACAGTGGTGATGGGCTTCCAGCAGCGTGATGATGCTGGATGTCCGCCTACCTGTAGCTGCTCCCTGAACAAGGCTGAGGGATCTCATGATCTTCATTTGCTTTTGGAAAGGCTACCCCTGTAGCTGCTACCCCGCACCCTAAAAGCATGCGGACCGCCAACAGATTGGAACATCGTGTTTTGCTGAAGTCACTTGACCAATCATGTTCATCCATTTTGTTCACTTGTTCACTACATGATCACCAAATTGTCACTATATTTTGAGATTTTGGCCGTGGCCTCGCATCGGGATGGACCCAATGGCATCGTTGCACTCAGGTCAGCCAGGGGCAAGGTGGCTCTTCCTCCGTGCGTTGTATTGCGCGCTGTGGAAACGGGGCGTTGTTTTGATGTTTGTGTCCGGGAGGATGTCTCAAGCAGCAGGCTAGTGGCTAGACTGAAGGGTGGTCACAGCTTGGATGAAGCTTTGCTAGAGCCGTGCTTCCAACCAGGTGACGTTCACTTTGATTGGTGCAGGTAAGCTCTACACTTGGAGGACTAGCTACTGGGAGTGCCATTGTTTGCTTCTGCAACACCTTTCTACTGTAAAGAGGTGTTCAACGAAAAGCCTCGGCTCCCCCAACTCGTATCAACGAATCGAATCGAGGCACCAACTCTGCGTCTCGCAGCCCCGGTTCGGCCGCTGAGTGGATTTGGGCGCACACTGAGCCCCTCAGAACGAACACATGCATTTCAATTACACTCTGGAAGATTAACATGGAACCTGAAACCACTGGGTTGTAGAGGAAAATAGTCTTCCAAAGGTCCATTTCCCAGGTTCCATGTTAATCTTCCCGGGTGTATGTATGGCTAAATTGCAGTCTCACTAAGACTTCACCCCGATTTGACGAACGCAGTTGTCACGCCAAACGCAGTGAAAGCACTCGGTTCCGGACGAGTTTGACTCGTGCTCCAGGTGGCCATGAGGGATTTTCGGGGACTCCGCTCTGGAAGATCAAGGAGCAGCCGGAAAGCCCAAGACACTGCTGACATCTCCTGACGCAGACTGATCAGACTGGCCTGTGCTGTTTGGGTGGAGGTAACACATCATTTTGCAAAGCAGAATTCGGAAGGCCAGGGCGGAAAGACACTCGACCTGAGACAAATCCGAGTGCCAATAGTTGCCAAGGACGATGTGGTAAAACATGTTGCAGAGGGTACTGGGTGCAACACCCAAACCCATACCTTCACGGCCTGGTTCTGCACATACCTGGGCTCACCGTTTGAGGTATGCAGCTCAACGAGAAGCCTCCATGGCCGAAAGCTTGGCTTATGTGGCGGCCAGGTGTGCCAGTTGGGGTGGCTGTGTTGCTGGGGTGGTTGATGTTGAAGTTGAAGCTGACTATATACCAGCACCTTCAAAGGGGTCACCTGGCTGGAAGCCCTAGCCCACTACTAAGCGACCTCCAGACAGGACACCCCCTGAAAGTCCAGGTAGTGAAAACGTGGAGAAATCTAGAGGCGAACAGATGTTGGAGCTTTTTCTATTTTGCTTTTGGAGAGTTTTGAGTAGAAACTTAGAAGTTAGACCGAACTGGCCGTTTCCAGTGATGGCGGGGGGGAGATCACAAGTCTTTGTCTACCATACATTTGGGTGGCCAGGTGACATGAACTAGACATGCAAAGTGCGCTGGATGGAAGCTAGTGACTAGTGGACCATGTTTCCTCCAGTGGTGTCACTAATCTGTTGTTTCACGCGCACACACACACATTAACTACAAGCCCTTCTGGTGAAGTGCATTGGCAAACATTGGCGAACCTGTACTGGTTTGTCCATGTCTGTTATAGGTTGGTGATTGATTTGCTGTGCCCTCTTTGGTCGCGCCAGGAGCAAACCAATTGTCCCGCCCAACGTGCTGGTAGATGGGATCTGCATGGGTGGCGCAGGCCGGCTTTGGTGAGAAGAAGCAAGGACAGCGAAGTGACAGCAAAGTGACACGGACGCAGCAGGCCTACAATCTCAAAGCTTTTGATCTTCAGCTGCTTTTCGGGCGACGGCTTCCACATGTTTGTTGACCAAAGAGGAACGCGGCGTTCCATTGATGTGGAAGTCGTTGGCCGGCCACATGTGTTGACCAACACCGTTCCTTTTTGTCGCGTCTCTCGACGTGGTCAGCCATTTTCATTCAGCCTGAAGACTCAGATCTTTGTGAAGAAGAAGACACCGGCCCTGGCCTTTTCAGATCTCTTCCATAAGGGCCTGTCGTCAGATCGTGTTTTTTTTTGGAAGACACCACGGGCTCACTTGATTTCTCGAACATGATCTCTGGAGCCCATGGCTCTCGGTGAGTGAAAAGCCGCGCGGGTGTTCGGGAGACCGACGCGGGGGTGGTTTTGCGCACCAGGTGCCGGCAAGCCCTACACGCGGCATGCCTTGGTCAAGGAGCGTCAGTGGGGAGGACATGCCAGCCCAGAGAATATCTTCCCCCAAAAACTATAGCAAAAACTATATAGAAATGGGTACAGCATGGCGTGCTGTCTGGAGGGGTTCCCCGCTACCCTGCATGTAGGGGTTGCTCTTGTGGCTTGCGTGGCCATAAGGAGAAGGCCGTTATTTTTTTTTTGCGTGAGCATCCAGTGCAATGGGAGACATGTAGCTCACGTCGGACAGCACGCTTTGCTTGCCACAATTGCTTTGGGTTTCTGACTCCGCCGACCAAATCAGTCTCCAACAAACGGTTGTTGTGGTATATCGGGCATACATTTGCCGGGCCGCGCGTCCAGGGACTGATGGACATCGAAAAATCGAGGCCCCCCAATTTCCTTCATTCACCTGTACCTATTTTCATTCACCGGTACCTTGCGTTTGCGTATCTTACAGACATCAGGTTGGAAGATCTGTGCTTCAAAGGCCCCTATGTCAACCATCCTGGAATGTCCTCCGTCTACAATCCGTCCATGCTCACCTGACGTGTGTGTCACGTGTCGCCAGGACCTTCGCAAGGCGACGCTGACGGGTCGCATGGGCGGCAACATGCCAAGAAGGGACTCCACCCCCATGATTTGCAGCACTTATGAGGTAGGTAACCATAAGATACCATAAGTAGCTACGTGTAACCTAATAATGGGAGATGAAGGTGTTCTTTT